GAGCCATCTGGTGAACCATCGCATGAACCTTCAAGCGAACCGTCAGGTGAACCGTCAAAGGAACCAGCGCATGAGCCATCTGGTGAACCATCGCATGAACCTTCAAGCGAACCGTCAGGTGAACCATCGAAAGAACCAACACACGAGCCATCTGGTGAGCCATCGCATGAACCTTCAAGCGAACCGTCAGGTGAACCATCCGGCGAACCATCGAACTTAAATGTTGAATACGTTTCGCATGAGTATGCACCAAAACATGACTTTAATCCAATGGATTGCACGGATATTGTTATTGGAACGGCAAGAAATCAATCAAGTCGTATTTTGGATTATTACACACGAGACAGGTAAATTAAATTAGGAATGCTTTCTCTCCGGAAATGGCAATTGATGCGTTTCTAATTCGTTATGTTTTTAATGGTAGATCGACACCACGTCAAGATAGCTTCTGGGGTGGATCAAATGATTTAACAGCAACTGGTGGTTTTGAAGAGAATGGCGTAACAACCATCATTTTCCGTCGAAAATTAGAATCAAAAGACATTGCCGATCATTCGATTGTGAATGATTTGATGCATGTGATTTGGGCACGTGGTCAAGAACCAGGAAAATATATCCACTCACCACCATCCGGATTGGAAAAAGAATCGGCATCGATGCAAAATTTCTATCAACCAGATGAATTAAAATATCACGGTCATAAAACGCAGCGTGGTGTTGCTCAAATTAATTTCTTTGAAGATACTAAACCAAAGGCGGCTACTGGATCGAAAGCCACCGATGTTTTATTTAATGTTCTTGATAATAATTGCGAAGGACATTGGAAGTATCCACGTACATGTAAACCGGAAAAATTCGATTGTGAATATTATGCTGCATGGCAAACAGTGGGTCGCGGCGATGAGTTCCGTTTCCGTATTCAAACGACAAACACAAAAACATGGACCGGAATTGGATTTAGTGATGACGAAAAAATGTCACAAACCGATGCCATCATTGGATGGGTTGATCCAAATGGCAGACCATTCTTAATGGATACCTGGATCAATGGTTATACATCACCGAAATTGGATGAACATCAAAATATTTACAATATATCCGGTCGCATTCAAAACGGTGTGACATTCCTTGAATTTACACGAAAACGTGAAACAAATGATAAAAATGATTTATCATTTACCGAAGATAAATGTTTGTATCTTATGTTCCCGGTGCTTGGTGGACGTTTCAATGCCGTCAATAAGAAAATGAGCAAACATGAACAAACACCGGTGGTGACCGATTCACGGGTTTGCATTAAATCATGTGGCCGTGAATTGATCGATAATAGTATATTGCCAGTAGAAAAAGTGCCTAGTCAATTGGCGTATGCGGTCAGTGTAAAATTAATGAATTTAGCTGAATCGTTTGAATCGCCAGCAAAAGGAACACCCGAATTCGATAGTTTGGCATCACAAATAGCCAATTCGATGGCCGGGGTTTTAAGCCATATTCCCGGTTATACTGAAACCGAAGTCAGCAGCTTTGAAAAGTAAGTTCTTTCTGATTAAATGTAATGAATTCTGATTTTTAAAAAAATGAATAAATTCTATTTACAACAACAACAACAACAACAACAAAACAGAGACAAAAATGCTGTCATTGCAAAGATGAATGTTCTATTCGATAAGGCCGCGTATGAAAAGAGCCAAACAGTAAAGAGCGGAGAAAACAATGATTTGAAAGAAGGCGAATCAGACGAAGAAGATGGCAAAGTTATCAAAGACACCATTCTTAATAGCATCCAATCGGCAAAATTGGGCGCACTTACTGTCGATCCTGGATATTTGCATTTCCGCACATTAGAACGTAAGTGCAATCTTAATCATAATTCGTGGGCATTTTCTGTATTAACTTGCAACCACTTTAGATAACTTCGAAGAAGATGAGGCAGGAAAATCATTCTTCAATTTATCGGAAGTTCGATTGTATACGGTCATTGGATTGATCGCAGCTCTAGTCTTTGTGGCTTTATTGCAAGCCGCATGCACCATTTATAAAACGTCGTCATCAAGTCGAAATCAAAAGGTGACTTTCATGCATTTTTTTCATTTTGATACAGACAGAAATGAAATATAGGCATTGCATTTTGTATACTTCATTTTTTGGGATGCCAATGAGTGTCGACGACACGGTTGTGCAAAGAACTATTTACAAATACATGCCAATAATTGTAAAATAAAATTATAAATTTAATTCTCTCTTTTTTTTTTCAAACTTTAATTTGATTCGGAAATATATTGTTAGGCCAATAAAAAAATAATTCTAATACTTTAATGGTTATTTGAATACGAGAGTATGCATTAAAACGAAGAATTGTTTATGAATATACATTTTTAGCTTATATATGCTATACCAAAGGATTTCGGTCACCAGTCAAGCAACCTGTAAAAATGTTCAATTTTGACACGCACACACAATTCCCTCCCTTCCGAACCAAAACTAAACGATACTCTATACACTTTTTGGTACTGTTTGCTTTTATATTTATTTCTATTTTTTGTAAATGTTTTTTTTTTTTCTTAATTTTAAACTAATTTTTTCACTAATTCATTCGTTTCATGTCATTCGTTGATTGAATGGTTTTATATTTTTATGTGTTGTTCGTGTTGTTTTTGTTACGAACAATATTAGTCATATGTGCTCATTGTATATGTATTGCAAAAGAAAATTATTTCATGTGAAATGGTGCAATGGATTATTTATGTTGATTTTTGTTGTGTTTGTGTGTGTAAGCAAAGAAAGTTTTTAATTTAGTCGGAAAAATGGCATTTGGAATTCATATATGCTTGATATTCATTCGCATCATACGTTGTTACATAATATAATTGTTTATTACATTTTGCTTGGAAAAATTCATTTGTGTTAGGGCGCAAATAAAAAAAAGAGAGAAAGAAAAACAGATAAAGCACGCAAAGCTCTGTTTGCATTGAATTCGAAATGAAATAAAAAAAAATGTTTACTGAAAACAACAGTGTGAATGTGCTTATTTTGTGCAATTGCACATTCATCTTACGCATTGCTATTTCGTTTCGGATTGATTGATCCGCTTTAATTTGATCAAGTGAGAAATGGAGATTTAGCATTTAAATCTCCAATTCAATAGACACAAACGTTCGAGTGTTCGATTCAATGACAGAGAGTACATTCAATCTTCTTAATTAGCTTGTCATTAGATCAATTAACCTTGTGAATATTTTATGTATTGACCAGGGCCATGCACGCAGTGCGTTATGCGAAGAGAGTTAATTTTGCCGCGTAATCATTATGCGGAATTTAATTTTTTTTAACGTTTTTTTTTTGTTCGTTTCGTTTGTTTTGCATTTCAGTATGTTCTTTTTTTTTTGTAATTTATCAATCACGCACGGTTCACGAACTGATTTTTTTAAACTAAATTAAATGTTATTCGTGGTGATTTATGGATTGTATTTCAATTTCATTAATTGTTATGGCATGCTTTTCTTCGTTTTTTTCTCCATACAGGATAAATTAATCCCAAACTCCGCATGGAAAGATTATTCAGCAAATACGAATTATGCATTTGATACGGTTGATGGGCATATGCCATCAGATGAAAAGCATCAAAAACGAAATGGATCACGCATGAATACATCGGCCAGTTCACAACAGACATTACCACTTTCCCACGTTCCAATGAAATCACATTATTATAATGTTGATAACGGTGGCCGTCAACAAATGTCCCCGTATGAAAATGGAAACGGCTATTCGAGTGGCCAATATTCAAATCGTTATGGGAATGGTAAGTAATTGGTTGTTAATATATCCCAGAGATTGCAAACGGTGAAAGACAGACCCGAACGCCCGAGCCTGACCCAAGAATATTTTGAGTCGGGCAGGAGTTGGGCCAGATATCTTTCACAGGTTTTCGGATTTTTCGGGTGTTCGGTGACATGAATAGACCGAAATCATTCATTTTTATACAAATTACTATTGTACTAGGCATTTCATTCTTTTCTTTTTTTATTTTGTCTTTTTGCGCACAGATCGGACATATTCGTTGCCTCGTACAGCGGCTGGTGCATCATCATCGCATGGTCAACGTTATTCACATCAACCATCATATGCTGATGGTTATTACACACAAGATCGTCGTCGTAACAATAGTTCAAGGTCAAATCATCATCAGATGGACGATGCAGCAACAACAACTGCGATGGATAAGCCCGATTTCTATTTTATGCCGTCACAACGTAAATATTCTGGTGAAGTGGTTCGCGTCTATGTTGACTACAACAAGGATAATATGAAAAAATAGGGAAAAGAGAATAAAATAATAGAAGCAATCCATTTTAAAAGTGTCTTATTGTGTCAGTGTGTGCTCAAATCTTGTTAATTCGATTCGAATGATTAGTTTATTTTCGGCAATGCTAATCTTACGTCAAATATTTTTTTAGACATTTTTTTTTATCGTATTTAGTTTTCTCAGCGAAGAAAAATAGATTTGTTCAATAATAATCGTAAGGATAGTAGTCGTTTTGAAATGTTTATTATTTTTTTAATTTGTGAAGGAATCTAGAATTTGTGTAAATATTTTGCGTTGATAATACTCATAGTTTTGAGTATTTTTTTTTTGTCTTCTTGTCTAGTATCGATTATATTAGTTACATCGAAATCAAAACACGTTCTTTTTTAGAAAGCAAAAAAGGCGAAACCATAAGTAATAAGTTTGGACACAATTTGAGAGAAGAACAATTAAGAAAGTTCGAAAACGCATTAATGTAAAATTATGACACATTTTCTCTGTCATCAAAGCAACTAAGTCGCAAAACGAAAGTGCATGTAAATATTGCACATGTACATTTTAAATTAAATTTACCGTTTATTTATTTATATACGGGCTGAAAATAGAAAACCATGTATGTAAGCTGTTTACACACTATATTTTTTTATTGTATGTAAAAAAAAGGTTAATAAAGCGCTGAAAATTTACTTTTTAAGTTCCACTTGTTGGTATAAAGTTTCGAAAAACTCACTTTGTTAAGATTATTCATGGTTTCTGGCAACGGGAGGAAATGACAGCAAATTTTAAAATTGGCGCGCTCTTTATTTTCGATTTGAGTTGTTAAATTACATTGACGTCCCCTTTGAAATTCGGGGCGCCACCGTCGGCTCAAAGAGACTTGAAGTCTTCACATCCTCTCATTGGTTTCTGGCCATGGGTCCAAAGGGGTCAAATTATTACCCGCTTCTATAGTAGGAATTTAACATGACTACGAGAAAAATCTAAAACATTTCAATACTTTTTTGAACTCCGATCAACGTTGAGGTAATCTACTCTGAATTTTAGAATCATATAAAAAAATCTGCCAAAGGACTTGATGCAAAAGAGTATACAACTAATTTGATATTTTTCCAACAGATGGCGACACTGACAAATGTCAGTTTTAATAACTTAACAAATAACTAATATTTAGTATTTAATAAAATTTATTATATAATTGTAAAACCAAAAAGATTAACATAAAAAAGTTCCCACTTAAAACATTAAAACAATACTTAAAGTAATTTGATTGAATTCATTTTATTAGTTATCATGGGCATGTGCAAAATAGAATTGTCAATTCAACACAAACAATACATATACACAAACATGACATCGTATAATCCATAACAACAGAGCACAATATGCTGTGTAGAAATACTAATTCATGCGCGCACTACTCAGCTTCGTCTTTGCTTGTTGCTTCAAGCGTGCATGTGATGCTTGTGAGAATGTATTGTTTGTTTTGCCGTGTTTTGCGCCGTGAAATCGATGACAACAAATAAAATGAATTCAAAAACACTATTTTAAGTATTGTTCTAATATTTTGATTGTTTTTTATATATATATATATATTTGGAATGAGAATCTAATTTTTCATTCATTTCCTTTCCTTTTTGCTTTTGAAAAGCAAAATGTCATTTTAACATGAACATATTTTCTCAAATGTTAACATGCTATTTTACTCGCAACACATTTTGTTTGCGAGTAAAATATTATTTTTCCATGAATACCATTTCGGCTGCAGTTTAAATGCCCTTTTGCCTTTAATTTGTATTATTTAAATGTATTTTTTTCATTTGAATGTTCTTAAAAAATGCTATCGATGAAAAAATTACAATATGAAGTTTTTTTATTCGGATGATTTTTTTCAATACTTATTTTCCCATCAAACCACTTTTTGCTTCGAATATATACTATATTTTGATAAATGAAACATTTTTAGAAAAAAAAAAATACAAAAATAAAGAGAAGATATTCATCGTCCACTTAATGAATACTTTACAGTAAAAATATAAAAAAAAAATTATCTTCTATGGTTTCGAACTCTGGAACACGTACGATTCGTGCGATAAAATTCTGCGCGTCAGCTGATCAAGCCAACGAGTTTCTTATTGAATAACACGCTATAATGACATATAAATGATACCGCTGAAGATGAATATCTTTTCTTTATTTTTGTATTTTTTTTTTTCTTTCTAAAAATATTTCATTTATCAAAATATAGTATATATTCGAAACAAAAAGTGGTTTGATGGAAAAATAAGTATTGAAAAAAATCATCAGAATAAAAAATCATCGATAGCATTTTTTAAGAACATTCAAATGAAAAAAATACATTTAAATAATACAAATTAACGGCAGAACGGCATTTTAACTGCAGCCGAAATGGTATTCATGGAAAAATAATATTTTACTCGCAAACAAAATGTGTTGCGAGTAAAATAGCATGTTAACATTTGAGAAAATATGTTCATGTTAAAATGACATTTTGCTTTTCAAAAGCAAAAAGTAAAGGAAATGAATGAAAAATTAGATTCTCATTCCAAATATATATATATAAAAAACAATCAAAATATTAGAACAATACTTAAAATAGTTTTTTTGATTTCATTTTATTTGTTGTCATCGATTTCACGGCGCAAAACACGGCAAAACAAACAATACATTCTCACAAGCATCACATGCACGCTTGAAGCAACAAGCAAAGACGAAGCTGAGTAGTGCGCGCATGTATTAGTATTTCTACACAGCATATTGTGCTCTGTTGTTATGGATTATACGATGTCATGTTTGTGTATATGTATTGTTTGTGTTGAACTGACAATTCTATTTTGCACATGTCCATGACAACTAATAAAATGAATTCAATCAAATTATTTTAAATATTGTCTTTATAATTTATCCGAAGAATTTTTTTTCAAATATTCGGGATTAAAATTGAATCTTTTTGCATTTTTTTAAATAAAAAAATGTACAATACGTTTTTCGAACGATCTCATAAGTTTGAAGTTGTTGGTATCGCCATCTATTGAATGGTAATAAAATTAATTGTATACTCTTCATACGAAGAACACGCAACAAATCCTTTGGAATAACAATGCTTTTGTGGCTAATTTGCCACAAATGTATACACTGGCTAACGAATGTGTAAACCAGCACTAATACATACATATATACACTGAGTTGTATGTCACTCATAAACGTCAGTGAGAATCATATGTAGTCACACAGATAGCTGGCTAACGATTGGTATACACCAGTTGTTGGTGTAAGCCAAGGCAAAGACAATGCTGGCTAACGAAAAACCATCACTGTTGCTAATTATTTATTTTCCAACGAAAAAAAATGGTCTGTACAAAATATCATTGCACTTTGATATATATTTGCCTAAATTAACGCATTATTAAATGAACATTGGATTATTGGATCAGAAAGGGGAGCATACTACGTCTACTTTTCAGTAATATCTATTGCAAGACGCCCGTTTGTATGTCTAATGCACCGACAATATATTTGGACTTATATATACCAAATGAAAGAGCACTGAAAAAGGTAACTTTCGACCAAAGAAACCATATTCATATTTTCAACGGTTGACAAAATTTTAGCCGTTTCAAAAAATCTCGAAAATTTGCGATTTTTTGTAAGGGTACGTTTTTTTTTTTTGCCCCAATATGACCACTTATTAAACATGTTCCGGGAGTGAAGTACAAAACGCAATGTGAGTGACTTTTGTTCAAAATTCAATCATTTTATTTTATTTTATTTTGCCATGAAAATAACTTCGAAATTCGGAAAAAATTGAATTGTAAACATGAAATGAAAAAAAAAATCAATGAAAAAATCGGTATCACAATGAATCATCGGAGTTGGGGCAAGTGTACCAAGAGTTGCGCATTTTGGCACATTTCAAGTGCACCTCTTTCTTGCAGGCATTGCAGGCAACAGAATTAAAATTAGTGAGCTTGTCTGTCGCAAAGATTTTCGAGCTGGTTCAATCGGCGGTGGTTGTTTCTGATTGTCCTCTTTCTTCTTCGTCGTCTTTTTGGGCGTATTTTTCGCCTTTTTGGCCGTTGTTAGCACCGTACCTTTCATAGGCGGCCGACCTCTGTTGCTTCATTTTTTGGGTGTGGCATTTCGTTGCAACGGTCCGACAGTTGACAATATATCGGACAACTAGATGACGCTACTGAACCAGACGTTGATGGTGCCGCTGATGACACTTCTTCCGTCCGACTAAGTCATTCGCCGTAGAAACAAAAATGATTCGCTGATCTTATGCATCGACATTTTCGACAACCTCGGCCTCTCCATCGATCTTGTCACTTTTATGAGAATCGACAAAATTTTCCAAAGCATGATGTCATCCTAATTAAATCTTTTGCTTCAACCTTAAAATGCAGTTCGTTTGTAGGTGATGTTACCATGTGGAAAAGCGGTTGCAATTTCTTTTTCCACTTCTCATTTTTCGTTTTCAAAGCAAATGCTTTCAATAGTGTGGTATAAACTGGTTTATTGATAAAAACACCAGAAATGAAAACAACTTCATGTAATGTAATGTAATTTTTATTTTCTGAATATTTTGTATGGTATGTATATACATATGTTTCTCATGAGTTACAGTCGGTAGACTTTTCAACATATGAAGTAATTAGTAGGTGTAATTTAAGTGATTAGTTAGGTGTCTGTGGAAAATTAGGAAAAAAAAAACCACAATTTGACGGGTTTTATAAGAGTTTTATAGTTTTTGTTTGATTTTTAAAATTTTTTGAGAATTTAAGACTAGAGAAAATAATAAAATAAAATTGGATGTTGTGACTTTTAGTAGTTATAAGAGATCTATTTCTCTTATTAAGCTAAAAAACTGAAATTTGACAGTCTTGAGTGAACTTTACATTCAAACTTTCTATGAGTTGATTAAATAGACATATTCCTGTGATTTGTTCCATGAAATTAGTTGGTGTTCTTTTATGCAAATTGTAAATTAATTTGAGAAATTTTGTGCAACATTAAGTTTTTTGATGTGGTGGTTAGCTGCTGAGAACCAAACCGGGCAACCATTTGATAGTATTGGCCTGATTACTGCTTTGAATATTAGTTTTTTGTTTTCAATTGATAGTGTTGATTTCGGTGTGAGCATCAGATATAGAGCTCTGAAGCATTTGTTTGATTTGTCAATTGAATAACTAATGTGTTCGCCAAAAGTAAGTTTCCTATCGAATGTAATACCCAGATATTTGAATGAATTTGATAGTGGTATATTGTTATTACCGTGTTTTAATGCAATGGTTGGTATGCGTTTACGTTTGTTATTGATTGCGTTTTTGATGTGTTGATTTTAATTTGGACGTTTGATAATTGTATTCGATTGTTTCGCTGATGTGTATATGGCTGTGTCATTGGCATAAAGCGCGGCTATGGAATTATCTTCGATTGGCATGTCCGCGACGAATAATACGTAGAGAGTTGGCGAGAGGCATGTGCCTTGCGGTAATCCGGCTGACATTCTTATTTTGTTTGAGATTGAATGGTTGATATGTAAAGCAAATTCGCGGTTTTTGATAAATGATTGGATCAATTTAATTAGGTATTTTGGGATTTTCATTTTAATTAATTTGTAAATCAGACCATTATGCCAATTCGAATCATTATATTTTTTTGAATATTTTTCCTAGTGCGATTTTGAAACTTGATTGCCAGTAATATGAAGTGATGAACTATTAATTATCATGGTGAGCTTGGAATCCTTGACGTAGGTATTTTTTTTACTTTACAGTCTCTCGAATGAAAAACTCAATTAAAAGTACTTCTTTGATTGACGCAGACACTCTAAGGACTATTACAAGATACTATACAATTATACATAATCTTTCAAGCAGCGATTTTTTCGTGTGATGAAAAAATTTAATATCCATCACCATTTCTGACCATCCAATCCTATCCAATTTATATTCCTCCAAAGTAAAGAATATATCTCGAAGAGGTTTGTCTAATGTCTCGAATGTCTTCTTAAATTTCTCTATAGCCGAGAGTAGGGCACTGCAGCGTTTATACTCGAATGTTTCAGTGGATTTTCCAGTACTCCTTTCTAATCGCAATTACGGATGTCATTTTTTCAGCCAATTCATTGACCAAACGATTATAACTCTCTCCCATATCCATTGATGCTTTTTGAATTGTTTCAATATGTTGTGTTTTGATTGTTTTATTGTTAAATTTTTTAATGCATTTAAATAACCATCGACGTCGCCGGCTTTCGGTTCGGTGAAGATCACATTATAAATAAAAGTATGTCGACCGCAAATAATTTTGTGATATGCGTTGAGACATTGAATTTCCTTTACGAGATTGTTGCGAAATGAATGATATACATCGTTATTGGGGATGTTTGCCAATAATTCCCCGCAATTGAAAAGATCGTTGGTTTCACTGTTCACCCATTGAAATATGTCTTCACTGTGTATAATGGATTCAGGTCGAGTGAAAAGTGGTTTCAATGTCTGCTCCCAATGTGTTTTGTTCACGTTGCTTTTCTTTGACAAAAATATATTCATCAATGTTGAAAAAGGACTATCACCTTCGATTTTAATGCAATTGATCAATGTAATCTGAAACAAATTTTAACCAATAATATTTTGAATAATATATTTTCTATTTAAAAATCTTCTACCTGATCAAATATTGACACTGACATAAACGCCAAAACTAAAAACAATCTCATTATTTTAATTATGAGATCGACCAGTAACTAAAATGGAAAATACTAGGGGATCGGATCTCGATCAGAAAATAGCGAATTATTCGATATTTTGCGAATTTTATGCGAAATGATTTGTAAGCGATGGGCCAGTAAAGTTGTGATTTAAAAAACAATTCGCAAACAAAACGCTATGAACGTGAGACAATTCGCAAAATTTGTAAGTTTTGTATGTATCAAATTGTGAACGCTTGCAAACGAGCCAAGTGAACAGCGGCGACGCACGAAAACGAAATGAGTGAATAGCGACAACGAACGAAAGAAAAAATGTTATCCGCTGCCGCTATTCACTCACTTCGTTTTCTTGCGTCGCCGCTATTCACTTGGTTCGTTTGCAAGCGTATATTATATAGTTTGATTGTGATAACTTTTTGCGAATAGCTTGCGAATTGTATGCGAATTTCTTGAATTATTTTACTAAAATGACGACTTTATCATACAATCAATAAATTTTGTCCATTCGCGAATAGATCATTTCCCCTAGGGAAAATAACACGCAACTAGGTGTTTATATACTAGATCTAAATTTGAATTCTGTGCCACATCATTAATGAATATTGAGGAATCATTTGAGAATAATTTTGAAATTATAATTAATCAATTCAAAAACATTCGTAGTTGTGTGTAATACATGTTTATATCAAATAAATAAATTCCAATTTGAGTGATTATGACGTTGAACATTATTGACGAATTTTTTCCTGTAATTTGAATTGAATTGAATATTCAAATTTCGATAAACAACATTTCAAATCGATATCGATATTTTATTAGCTGGCAACTGTATAAGCACATTTCTTGGCATAATTTCCCAGTGAATATTTCGTTTTGAAATACAGGACTCCGGTCATTTTTACTTAATTGTTTGTGTTCCATGACACCATTACATTCATGTTAAAAATATTAAAGTGTTTCAAAGCATCAGGTGGTGAAATCCACTGTCAAATTATACATTACGATTCTAGCCCATTGTAAGTAGTATTATTCATAATGTAGCCTTGTTCATAATCAACGAAAATATAAAATGATTAGTTATAAATATTTTCTTTTTAATAAATTTATTTGAATCAAAATGTTTTTACACCACAATGACATTGAAAGTTTTATTTAAATAATTATATTCCCAAGCATTGTCCAAATATTGATGATTTTTTTTGTGTTTGCAAGAAGAATTGAACACCCATCACTGTTTGTGTCCATAAGAGTCGTTTGAATTTATACATATTCACAGCCGATGCAACATCACACAGAGCCATCTTTAATTGTCCCTGTTTTTCTCTCAAGTTATTCAGAATATTTGCTAAAGTCTGCAAGTGATCCGCATCATATACACTCTTTGCCGATTCTCGAATTTCCTTTGTTGATTTTGTGAACTCTTTCAATTGCTGTCTGATTTGTTCGACTTCAGCTATGTATTCACTTCTTCTTTGATTTGCCACTCTCATGTTTTCAGTTATTATTTGAACTTTTTCATTGTAAAATGTTTGCATCCCACTTAATTCATTTTGAACTTTAGCCAAGTGAGCCTTATTAATGCGTTTGCCATCAAACTTTTCGCATGCATCGTAAAATCGTGCAATTTGAAAGATTAATGGCTCGACAAAAATGCCATCAAAAATAAAATGATAAAAATTGCGTACTTCCTGGCGTTCGTTAGAGAGACGAGTTAGTTGATCTTTTATTAGCTGCATAACACCGTTTATTATTTTACCATCGAAGAGATGCCCTATTTCAAAATCCAGATTTGGCAAATAACTGAAAGCCATCTTTTTCCCAAGGAAATCAGTTTCACCTGAATCATCGGGTATGAGATTTCTGGGAAGTGCAAACAATGGTTCCAAACGTTCTTTTAAGTTACACTTTTTATCTGCTTTTTTTGCTTTGGCATCAAATTCAGTCAATATTGTGGTGAAAGCCGGTTTGTCTAAGTCGTATTTGTCACCACTAACAAGTTGAAACTAAAAAATGAATATTCTATAATTATCATTTGATATTTAACAACGACTAATAGTGTTCTTTTTTCTTCGAACAATTACTAAACAAAATCAAACTAAAAAAAAAAATAATTGAAAAAATGAGGAGAATGAATATACCTGATCAAATATTGCCAATGACAAAAAGACCAATAATATTAACAGCTTCATTATTTCAGTGAAAATAGCTAGTTAGTTTCTGCAACAGAAAGTAAAAGTAACTAATATCAAGTAGATGAATCGGCTGTTATATAGTAAGCCTTTCTGTCATGAACGTGGCATTTGACGAAGGAGAAGAAAAAAATAAAAGATACGCAATTTTCAAATAAAATAATATTATAATGTATAGATGATGAAAATATGCTTTAAATACACACAACACATTTTTTCCCTAATTATTGGAGATAAAACACAATTCGATATCATAATTTAAAAAAATTTCAATTTTTTTCACAATTCCCAGTTAAAGCAGAACAAAACAAAAATATTGTTCCGTTGTATAAAAAGATATATTGCCTACTCTAAGGCTTGAGCCACGCCAATTGAAAAATACAAATTGGAAAAAAGGACTGCTTTATCCGCTGAAATGATGATAGAAATAATGAAACTTAACACAGAAAAAAAGCAATTGAGTCGTTGATGTCGTTATTAGGTGGTGACAATTTTGAATCGTCTGAGTTGTATTACACTTATGTATATGACTTGCTTAAATGAACTAGCTGTGGCAGAGACGAATGTATTTATTGGGAATGAAAATCGAACAAGTGACGATTAGGAAAAATGTATTTTTGCTCACTATGCCCATTGGTATGGAATGAATTTTATTTTGTGATATGAAATTTTGGTGCTATTTAAATTCCAATTTTTTGCCGACGCGATTGTATTGGAAAAACATAAGCGTAATCTTGTTGAATTAAAAGCCATTGGAAATTATCATTCGATTTATTATTTTAGAACAAAACTAGAGATACCAGTCACTGAGGTTGGCGCCGGTTTTGCTGCAAAAAGTAAGGTTTTCTTAATGATGAAACCCATTGCCGCATGTAAAAACTGGTAGCTAAACACTGGCATTTGGAAAGATGATCGAGCTCAAAAAAAAGATCACTGAAATTAAAAATGTTTAAAAATGTTCAAAAATGTTTTGGCTAACAATTTGTTGTTTACGATTTTGGTTTCAGGTCTTTGTACGGTGTTGGGATTGGACATTCATCCGCAACTATTGAGACCACAGAATCAAAATGCTGCCATACAAAATCAAGCAGCTGACGATGAGGATTCCAGTGACGACGAGGACAACGTTTATGTTCTCGATGTTTCCGATGACGACCAGTTTTAATTACATGTAGCATTAAGATTTCTTTTTAAATAATATTATTGTAACGTTTTATTACTATGCTGGGCTTGAGTTTTGTGGCCTTGACCGAAGTACGGGCAGTTTGGTATACAAAATAACCCGTAGGTGAGTATCATTTATTGAACTGAACCGATAGTATATTGATGTTGATTCATACTTACTAACTGTGTTTATTTTTTCTCTTTTTTCTTTCCATTGCGACGTTGAAAATGACTGAAACTACACTCAAATCCGACCCCAATATTGACCGTCAAGATATGCCCGATAATGGATGAATTTGCCACAACAAATGTTTGTTGGGATATAGAAACACTATATTTACTCTTACATTTTAGGATACAGATAGATAAATTTTTATAAAAATACGTAAAATGTATTCAAACTTGTGATTTATTTTACTCACAACGTTTTCGCCGTAGGTTATACTATATGTTACCCGATTTCATGGGTAATAGATGAAAAGTTACTCGATTTCGTAATAATTCAAAATTTACGTCAAAATTTATTAACGAATAAATAAGAGATTTTTATTTTTTGAAAGATGATCTTGGAACTTCCAGTTTTAAACTGAAATAAGCTGAAATATAGTATCGTTGATTCGAAACATCTGTTGAACCTGAAAACTTCTTTTGAATATTTACAGAATAGCAGAACTGATCATCTTGCTTTTAAACGACAATATTTTTTTGTGTTTTCAACTTGTTTAATATTTTTTGTAATGTGTTTTGTTGAAACTTTGTGCATTTCTTCGCAATAGAATAAATTGTGTTCTTCATATTTGTAATTAATAACACAAGGTAAACATACTCAATTGGAAAAGTTACTGCGTCAATTAAATTTCATTACTTACAGTGAAATAAATGGAAAAATACTAGATGTGAACAATAACATTTTGCCTCAATTCGAAAACAAAAACAAATTATCATAAAGATACAACGTTATTTTCAATTTAAAGACATTTTATTGACATGCCATGTACGCATTACAGCTATAATCAACGTGTCAAAGGATGAATTGTTTCTAAATTGATTGTGAATGATGTTGAACTTCAACCCTTTTATTTCCTAATCTTTAACATCGATTGAGCAAATACAACTTCCAAGACATGGTGTCTTCTGATTTTTGTTTTGAAATTGTTTGTCCATCAAACACTCTGACCATACAATACGTTCTTCGATGTATTCCTTCAGAATCGGCACAATTTCTTGGAGCTGTTTATCCAATGCAACATTTTTTTGGAGTAAATCCGTTACTTTAGCCGATAGCTTTTCAAAATAAATAGATAACTGTGTGCGAATCTTTGGACGTTCAAAATATCCATTCAACTCGGTTTTAACCAATCCCATTTGGGCGACATAACTTTTTCTCAATATGACTGCTATGTTGTTCTTGACTTTCAGTTTTCCGACGATATCATTATACGTTGTTTGCATGCATGGTATCAATTTTTCTCTGATCTTCTGTAGGCGCTTTTCTTTGAGCGGGTTTTTGATGAATTTGTCTAATGCTATTACAAATCCATCCAATTTTCTGCATATTGGCTCCTCCAATTTTTGGCTCACATATTTGCTATAAACTTGGAGGATTTTTGTATTACCTACATAAACAGTATGGATGTCATTATAAATTTTATGAAGATACGACTTGACTTCTTCAATTATTGGAATTTTGGCCAAAGCATCTGCGAGTTCTGTATTATTTGTTGCTTCGATAATGTCAGCCATCCATTGAAGTGTATCATGTTCGTCATCTCTTAGGATGTCATTGGGAAGAGCGAAAAGAGGTTTTAAAGTATTTTCCCAATCGATACGTTTATCAATATCTTTCGCTTTGAGGTCAAACACCTCTATTAAGGTCTTGAAGGCGGCATTATCTGCATTGTATCTACCAGACACCAACTTGAATTGAAGAAAAATGATCAGCATCAGTATTTTAGGAGAAAAAATAAACATTCAAATAAATTTCAAATTTACCGGGCCATATATTGCCAACGACAAAACCATTGAAAAGAAAAACACGTTCATTCTTTTGAGAATTTATTTTCGCAATTAAAATAACTTGTCTCAACAATGTTCAATAGAAAATTAACTGTATAAAATGGGATTCATTAGACTTTAAATACAGAACATCTAATAGATCACAAATAACAACTTGATAATACACAAAGGTATTTCAAGTTATAATTTTTTATAATTATTCTTCAATAAAAAGCGAAAAATATTTGCTAAAACATTAAACACACTTGTATGGGAGAATAAAAAATATTTGTTACTTGTTTGGCAGTAGATTATAAATTATATTCATTGGAAACGACTAAGTTTTTAGAAACGAAAACAAGATGTAATTTATGACAATGCTTAACATAAATTTATCAAAGATTTTAGAGGGGATATTGTCAAAAATCCAGAGAAGATACTAGGCTCAAAGTTTTAAATAAACAAAACTCACATGGAATTTCATTTAAATTGATTTCAAAATTTAAGTATTTCATTTATTACATGATGTTGATGTAAAAGATTATAATTTAAATGGGAATTATAATTTGTGTGTTTCTTATCATTCCATTACTGTGGGCTTTTTACAACACAGTTTACGTTTCGATTCTTTTTTATTAATAGGTACATCCATCAAGATCTCTGTCCACTTAATCCGTTCAACAGTAAACTCATCTATGATCGATGTTGTATCTGAAAGAACCTTTCTCAATGCTTCCAGTTTCTCCTTCAATGCGCCAATAATCTTGATTATCTCATTCAATTGACCTGTTTCGTCGGCTAAACTCTTGAGTTCTTCAATTTTCTTATCGCTCAGAACGATTTGCTGCAGATATTTATATCTTTTCACTGGTATCTCTTGCATTTTTTCATCCAATCTATTTATTATATCATCGTACTTTTGTTTCATTGTTTGCAATTCCTTTCCAATCACTTTCAAGCGATGTTTTTTAATTGACTTTTTATCGAATTGTTCGATTGCGTTTTTAAAACCTTTTATATCATTGAATTTCGGTTCGTCAAACAATCCTCTATAAATATCATTATGAACATTACGAATATCATTGTACAGAATACTTAAGTCTTCTATATTTTGCCGAATCTCTCTGTGAATATCTTGGTATTTATGTTCGATAGGTTCTTTGAGTTTATTTTCTATTTGGGGTAAGTCACACTGTGTTGTAAACCAATCGTATTTTTCTGAATTCATTGCAGTTTCGGTAGATCTACTTCCGAAAAAACCATGGTCAGTGACACGTTCAAATTTGGGATATTTGAAGAGGGGTTTCAATTGGTCTTTCCAATAACTAGAATCATGATCATTATCGATTTTAACTACTTTTGAAGCAAATTCCTCCATAAATGTAGTATAAATCGGACTGTTTAATTCATATTTATGTTCACTGGCCGATACGAACTGAAATTATATTTTTTTTTTTAAAATTCCATAAATTTATTGGAGACAGAAGTCACCATTGATCTTTGAAAGTTCCATCAAAGTTACCTGATCACATGCTAACGATCCAAAGAATACCAGAAATAATGAAAGTTTAGACATTTTTGTTTGCGGCAACTAAAGTTATTATCCAGGAGGCTAAGCAATAACTGAAATAAATTGATGATTTTACATTACAGATATAGTTATAAAAATGCTAATAATAAAATTCCAGGTGTTTTGCATGTCAACGCCTCAATTTTCTCTCAGACGAAATACAGTAAAACCTCTTAATTGAGTTGAAACGATGCTCTTGACGATTTTTCACATCTTTTTGGGAGTTGATCAGGTAAGGAGCTCAGATCTTCTGACCAACTTCAGAATTCAAATTAATGGAAATTGATTATTGAATGGATTGACTAGAAAATAGAAGGACCATTTCTATCCAGCAAAAAATGAAGATAAAAAGACCTTCTTCAAAATAGTAATTTTTACGTTTTTTTTTTTTTTTTTTTTCAAAAAAAATGAGCTTTTTTTGCCGCAACGATATGTTCTACAGAGAAAGCTTAATCTAAAATGTCCAATATTTGGAGATAGACCCGTAAAAGAATTTTAATTATCGAAAAAATTCAACCATCTGTCTGTTATTTGGAGTTTTCATTACACGCAGTACTGTAAATGTAAATGTGGCAATTTTCGAAACGCAGCAGTTAAAATAAATAGAAGGTATTGTGTTCAAAGTTAAAATATATTTTATTCAACAGTTTTTGTTACACATTTTTTCATTTTGAATTAATACTGAAATTATGTATAATTTTTAATATATGCGATAAATATCTGTTGTTTTGTTTTCTTTTTTTTATTTTGTTAAATCTTGGGATACGTTTGACAGTAACATGCTCTTTGAATGTAAAAATAAAAAAAATCTACGATAATGATAATATAATAAACATTGAAACAGTGCAACTGTCCAATTCAATAAAAGTATATTATTATATTATTCAAAATAATTCTTCGACGAACTTTGCCGCCATTATTCCGTTTCAACCTTGATCATAATTTTATTGAATATACTTAATGTTTTGTTTTACCTTAAATGAATAAATTAGGGAAAACTATGTGAAAATTTTCTTCTTTAAAAAAAAAACTTTTTCCATAATTCACTTGTGATTATATAATGTCGTTATGTGAATTTTTTGCTTTTTCTTAGTCAACAAAAGCAAAACTGGATCAAAAACGAATCGGGCATCAAAACTAAGGATTTTCATTGGAAAGTGACTTGTGTCAAAGTGCTTCTTTACACATTATATGCTTAATAAATTTGTTTTTGATTCAAATGCAGACTTGCGTTCTCTTTTCTATATTTAATAATATGCTCGAAACACATGCACACACCCTTTTTTCGTTTTTTTTTAAACATCGCTAATTCAAGTAGAAAAATATAAAAGCGTTGAGAAAAAACGTAAGTAAAGAATTTTTATTTGCAAATCACTTGACTATGTTTTTTCCTACCCTTTCACTTTCTTTGCCATTCTCATTCACAAGACCAGGAAATTTTTTTTATTGCATTTTAGTCGCTTTTGCTTGGAAATATTCTGGAGGGAGCTATACATAATGTTTTGAAAAGGATGCCAAAAGGGTGTGAACTGGGTCCAAGGATTCAACTGAAATCATTTGAACGAATTAAACGGAAATAAAGAAAACGATAAGTAATGCCATTCATGACATAAAATGGAAAGGAATCTCAAATGTGAACAGTATACTTTTTAAATGGATTTATTTTCATGTTCACATCGGACTCATATGAATTATTTTTAATATGATTTTAATAGTATTTCAATCATGATGCCAAATTACAAAAGAAGGTCAAATGGAAAGATAAACTGAAGAATTGACATTATATTATAAATCAAAAAATATAATCGAAACAATTAAATTCAAACTATCACAGTTGATCCTACTTGTTATTTAATCAGTTTGTTAGCGTAAGTAGACTTTAAAATGAAATTGTAAACTATCGCAAAAAATGCTTGGAAAAAAATCAATCGAACTCGCGATTGACAATCTCTTTAAATATATCAAAAACTAAAGTTAAGCAAAATTAGCAAATTTCACTGCATTTAGACAACAACATATGTTCGGAGTAAATTTATTCTATACAAAAATAAAATTGGGCGACCAAATGTATCAAGATATGAATCAGAATTTTTACCAAATGATTATTTATTTGGCCAACCGCACAAAAATTTTTTCTTCTCACTCAAGTTTAGTTGTTTATTCTATATATCAATCAAATCTAAAGAAAATATATTTCAGAGTTCTGACAAAACGAAAATTGAAGAAAAGAAAAGAAATTATTTTTTTTTAACAAATCCCATTGAAAGAAAATAAACCGAATCTTGATAACATAATTTAACAATTTTTATGCGAATCATATTTCTGACATAAAAATGTTAGGTTTTAAATATTTCCAATCTTCTTCTTGTTTTCTTGTTTTTAATCTCTCTCTCTCTCTTCCTCTCTCTCGTTTCATTTTCCAATCCCAATCCAATGATCAAGTTTCAATGCTTTTGTTTTAACGATAGTTTTTACAACAAATCCTTAAATATTGACATATTATCTCAATTTCATTTGTAACATTGTACTTCAAATATTTTTTTTTGTATAATAATTTATAATTTACTTCTTTGAAAATATATCTGGTGCGATTTTCAGCTAGAGAAAGAAAAATAATCGGCACTAACTTAAGTCAATTGGTGGATAAATGAAATCGAATAGCCGAATGGAAAAAATGACTTTTCTAAATATGCCTAAAATCGATTTATTGATGATAAAAATAATGAGATAAAAACTCATTTGTTTTCTCTCATAATATCGTAAAATCAATTTAAGTGAGGTTCTCACTTTAAAGAATCCATGTGAGAATTCTTCCTTTTTTGAGTACAAGCGCGCGCGCAAAATGAAGAGAGAAAGGTTGCCCAAACTAATGTGTAAGCTGTTTTCGTACCAATGCATCAAGCAATCGTAATTTGGCTTTTTTCTGTTTATATAATGCGTACGTTTCTTCGATGGCTATACGATCGGATTTTAGCATCTTTCGGCCATTTTGTTCTTCAAACACTTCTTCAAATTCTTTGATGGTGCGTCGCAATTTTTTCTTTTCATCGCGTACAATTTCTAAACTTCGTGTCAAACCGTCCAATGACATTTCGTGCACATTTTCATTGATTGAACTTGATGTATCGGTTGAATCGGTGGATGAATCAATGCCGGATGCAACATTACTGCCCATTACTTCTGTATCGGATGGCGGTGGTGTTAATGATATAGCGGCCACTGTGAATGCCATCGCTTCATGTTCAAGAATTGTTGGAAGTTCGGATGGATTACTTATGCCCGAGCCGGCAATTGATACCGTACGATTTACAAGCCGTTTAATAACACGATATCGATTGTAAAGCAAACGGGCTGCATCACGTTCATCGCGGGTGGTCGGCCGTCCATATAATGATTCCAAATAGAGTAGAGCACGTTGCACTGCAGTTTTTTCTTGTACCAATTGATCGGCAGTCATTTCTTCCAAAACTTCCGGCCGATGCTCTTCACCACGTTTGATTTGAAGGCGCTATTTTTATTAACCGAAGAAGAAAAAAAACGAACGGAAAAGGATATTATTTTCTCTTCCCGTGAACTAGAAGATTAAAAACCAACAAAAAAAAAATCTATAAATTAAAACTTACTTTCTCAATTTCAGCGATGGTATCTATCATGTTCTGCACTTTACTATCGTTGGCTGTGGTGTGTGTGCTTTTGTATCCCATTGCATTCATTGGATCAGCTTTGAGTGCTTGTTTTTCTTTGCGCAATTTATGTATGTCGGCGAGTGCATTTTTCACATAACGTTCGTTTAGTTTAATCGAAAGTGATGGCCGATAACCATTTTCCATTTCAAAATTTTCCTCAAATGTTGCAACACGTTTTTTCAATGCAATCAAACGTTTATTGATTTGCTTTAGTTTTTCATCGGGCGTTGTAAATACATTTGGCAATTGGTTACTTTTCATTAAATCGCGTGTCTTTAAATTTTCACCTTTTGCAAAATGTGGAATCGATACGGCGACAAATGATTCATTTCGTAATTTCATATCGGTGTCACGTGTATTGTTTACATGATCAAATTTATCGTCAGCAAACCGTTGACTTTTTACTGGTTCATGTGTACAATCCCATGGCAGTGATTCATGTCTCGATGTAGTAATTGGCGATCGTAGACCCGATGGTGATATTGGCATAAAATCGGTGTAATCGTTATTGTCATTATGATCGGAAAATGATGACGATAAATCATTGTAATCATCGCCATATTCACTCGAAATGGATGATTGCAATTCGAATTGTCGTTTGAAATCAATCGCTGATGTTGCCGGTGTTGGTACGACCGTTTTCGTACTGGTGAAACCTCTTCGTTCTGATTTCATGGTTGTGATATCATATTTGTATGTACTTTCATTGTGCTCGCTATCCGTTGAACTTGACTGGCGAATCAATGATGGTGCCGATGACTTTTTACTCGATGACGATTTTCGAAATCCTTGTGCTGCACGTGCCTTACAAAACCGTTCGCTGCTTCGCCTATAATATGTTTGTTTGTTTTTTTTTCGGGAAAAAAACAGTAAATTTATCATAAAGTTGATATGAAGAAAAAAAATTGAAAAAAAAAAACAAAAAACATTTGTTCATTTATAATTACCGATCAGACATTGTTTGCATATCAGAGAGTGCGTCATTGTTATGGTTGTTTGTATCCCGATTCGGTGAGACTCGTAGTTTGTGTGAAAAATCGAATGTACGTGATCTTGCCGGACTAGTTTCAGAGCGACGATATGCATCACGTAAAATTTCCTGTACTTCGTTATTGGCCGATTTTATTGATGCAACATCATCGTTAAATTGATAAGATCGTCTATTTATAATGCATTCATCATCATCATTGTCATCATCGTCGTCGTCGTCGTCATCCTCGTCTGGTGCCTGTTTCGTTTGAAGCAATGGCGTTGTTACACCATCAATTTCATTAGCCGGTTGCTTAATTTCCTCATGCGATGACACACGTCGAATCACTTCATAGTCAATATTTGGCAAATATTCTTCACTATTCGATCGCACCAATTTTCGATCTTGTGTTATTGACGATGTTGAATCTTGTCGCTCTTTACGCTTTCGTGAAACATTTTGTTGATTCCATTCTTGTGGATCAATCACTTGCGGTAAATAGGTCGATGTGAATTGCGCCGAATTATTATCCGAATCAACCAGTATAGGATACTTAGCATTGCTCTGATCTCGCGATGACGTCGATGAGCTGGTCAAACAACTCAAATCATCGCTTTTACCTCTCGTTGATGGATTTCGCATGCCGCACTACAAAACGAAATAAAAAAACAAAAACAATTAGTGGACATTTGACGACAATAAAAGCGAACGAAATAACAAAAGAGAAACAGTTCCAACACCAACACCAACAACATAAAAAAACATCGATGAAATTACATCGATTCCTATTTAATATTGTACAGTTGAATGGAATAATCACAATTTTTGATTGAAGCAATTTGTCAATTGATTGAAATGTGCTCGAATTGATTTTCATTATGACATGTGATCGAGGTTTGCGTTTCCGTTTGATTGGCAATTACTCACAAAAATTCAACTTATTTCCTCAATAGCAAAACCTACAACTTCATAACTGTTTATGTTTTTTTTCTTGTTTTTTTCTTGTTTTTTTTTTCTGTCATTTATTTAACCAGAAAAGCTGATGAAATGATTTGTTTACATGCAATCAAATGCCAAGGAGGCATTATGAAGGAAAACATCATTGAATTTTGAACAACAATTAATTAAGGTTCATTGGTTTACTTATATATTTCAACATTTTCTTTTTTGAAAAATACAATGCGCTGGAGACGCAGAAGCCTATTTTGGAGTGACTTAACAATTTCACATAATAATCAATGTTTGTTGTCAACAATGTTGGAAAATATAACAAAATATAACAAACACGTTTGCACAAGGTCACTTTGAAAAACTTACAAGAAGCGAAGCCTTTTGTTTTCCATGGAAAGCCCCACAGATTCATTAGTAATGCAGAAACAACATTTAATATTTTCTTTTCTTCGACTCTCTCTCTCTCTTGTGTAATAGGTTTGTTTTTCTTTTTATACTCATTGACATTTAGATAGTTATACATATGTATTATGTTTTAGAAGAAAATAAAAATAAGTTTTTGCAATCACATTATAGCGAAAGCGAATATGTCTGTGAAGAGACCAAGAGCATGAGTTTTAGAATTTTGTTTTGGAAAAAAGTATCTATGTGCTATTTGTCGCTGCGTAAAAAATCGGTTGTAGATTTGTGGTATCAGTTGTTGTCGAATTTCATTCATGAATATATTTGGCGAAAGGCGCATGCTCGTGGTCACTTGCTTTTGTAGTAGGATAGGGAAGTGTTTCCTTTTTTTGTGTGTTGATGGAAAAGACGACATAAAATAACAAACACTCGTACAGAGTATTTTCTTCTGCATGGAAAATGTTTACGTGCCGATTCGCATGAATTTAACTCTAGCCAATTTTAATTAGTTCTGATGTAAATGAAGACCGAGAGTCGGTTGAAAAGATATAATGTCACGTATACAAAAGTAAATATAGAAGCATTAAATAAAAATTGACAAATCTAGGGGCTTTCATCTATTTGTTCATACAAATTTATACACAACATTCACGTCCTATTCATCATATATTCGATTAAAATTTCTCGCCTATACCAGTGAATAAGGTGTATTTTAAACTGCAGTGTACACACACACACACAGTATTATGGCTACACAGAATCGAAGAAGATCCGCACAAGAGAGAATAAAAAAACATGCCATAGACGAAATATATACCAAATATATGCAGTTATGCACATTTATATGCGCGTATTACAGATGATTTTGCAATATAGTTCACTATTTACAGTAAATAAAAGCCCCTAGTGACAAATATTAGCTTTGCAACGAAAATTTATTGATGCGTCGCTAATTTCATTTAACGCTTTAATTCGCAAGCACACAAACATTCCTCTATTTTATGAATCCTGTTTGTTTGATTTGCTCCTTTTGCTTCACTATAACTGCAGTACACACAGCCAGTAGGCAAAAAAAATACTTTTTTCTTCTATCGAGACTTGTTTTACATACGCACCCAATCCATTGAGGTTTGATGGAAACGCACGAATGATGGTACGCATAAATTGCGACGCAATAAATCGAATTTTGGGCGGTTATGCGGCCGGAAGGTATGTGCGGTCTATGTTATACTACGCGCTAATTCGTTGAAAACTTGAACGACACAAATGGTGCTTAAGATATAAGAAACAAGTCGAAAGGTATTTACCGTTCTCTTTTCGGATAACAACAAACAATACAATTAATGCAATAATTATTTTCTAAATCGATACTATATTTTAGATCAAACACTTTTTCGGCATTGGTTCAAAACGATAATTTAGCGAAAGCAAAGAGACAAGAAAATATCAAGAGATGCGACATTTAGAAAGCAAATCACAACTGAATCGACTGATGCCACAGTCCCATTATATATATGCGAAATCATGAGATTCGACTAGTTTTATGTTAATCTTTCTCAGCTTAATTGGAAAATAAGACCTTAAATATCTTAATCAGACCATAAAGAAACTAGTTTCAGTATCTGGTGACAACGGGTATAATCTTTTTATTTCATTGAATATCTAATCTTTTTTTTAAATCATCTCTCCTAATTTGTTTTTTTCTTATGCTTCCATATCGAGTGTTTATATAACAAAAATTTCTAGTGGGTGTTATTATGTGTTACCGTGCATCAACATAAATTGAAGATTATGATAAAAATAAACAGATGAATTTTGAAATGAGATTAATTCTATCGAAAGTTCTCGAATTCTCTATAGACAAAAGAAAACCGCTCACCTTTATTTCAGTATCATTATTATCATCATCATCATCATTTTCATTGAATCTCACTGAATCCGAATGATATGGCTTAGGCGGCGTAAAATATTTCATAAAAATTCCCTTAATCATATTGTTTCAATTGGTTTTCAAATTCGTAACGCATAATAAATGAAATGTGCTTAAAGGCACATACGCGTGCAAACGTGGAGATTTTCCGTCGTTTCTTTGGTTTGTTTGAATTATGATTGATTGTTTGATTAATGAGCGTTTTAACTAAATTATTTCAACACAATATCGTTGTTAGCTGGAATCGATTGGTTGACGGGTGGAAATGTGTGTTCAAAAATTTAATTTGGCCAAAAAAAATTGTAAAATTACAGCAAAACCACAAACAATTAATTCGGTTCGAACATTAACCACATTTATCATTGTATCAAATACGCACTTATTTCAAACAGGCCACTTGAAATAAACGCGGAAGCACGGAATAATTTTTTTTCTTTCTGTTCGTTCTTGTTTCTATCACGCACAAAATTGACTTTAATTAATTTCTTTTATGATTTAGTGTTGTTTTCCCGTTGTCAACTTTTTCTTTAAGCGGAATCGGCAATTTTTTCATTTCATAAATTCTTCTCGTTTCAAATTGATATCAATAAGTTTAAGACATTTATAATTGTTTTTAAAAAAAATATTTATTTGAAATGTCATCGATGCTTTGTATTTGTTGCGTTGATTTTTTTTATCCTTTTGGATTTTGCACAATGTATGATCTGAAGACAATTGACACACAAAAATAAATATACGACTTAATGTAGCAACAGCAAAACGGAGACTGTATAAACATCGCCATCGGTGTCAGTTGGAGTGATATTACTTGATTATAAACACAACGAGCGGTGTGTTGTATGTTGTATGCGTAAAGCATTCATACAAAGGAACATATCCATTCATAGTAGTATCAAATGAAATGAATAAGGAACGGAATACATGCTGTGTGTGTGTGTGCGCGTGCGACAGAAGTAAATATACACCAAAAGACGAACGTATGCATGTTTTTGGCACGTTCTTTCTCGGCCATACTCGTGTTAATACATGTACTGGTTTTGTATTTACACTTCCCTTATTCCATAAGTACAAGCTACATTGCACAATACAAATATCCACTCGATTCCGTATACGTTCAGACATATTTTTATTTCGTTCATTGTCTACTGATGCAGAGCGTATCACTTTTTTGTCGTTGAGAATTACTAATTACGATATAATGAATGGTTGTATGCTCAATTTTTGCGGACATTATAAATGCTCATGTCGAGTGGGTTTCAACACATTGAATGATAATTTATATTCAATCAAACTATACTCCTTTTTTTATAAAAATAGCACATTTGTAATAAAATCATATATGCAAATCGTTCAATGCAACTGCCTTAATGAACTACATCAATTTTCATCGTATCTTCAATTTCCTTATGCCATGCCGTTAGACGACAGACGACGGACGACAGAGATAATGAATGAAATGAAATGCAAACGAAATTTCCGATCTATCGAATATTGAATGTTGATATTGGTTCATTTGAAATGCATTATTTTCCGATTTTATGCAGATTTAATGTGGAAATTGATGCCAAAATTAACATTTTCATTAATGCCTGCATTATGGCGAATTGTCCTGCATGAGCATTCATTTTACACACACAAATATGGTTTCAAACACTAGTTGCCAATATGCTAATAAATGGATTTTAAAACTTGATTTGCCTTTTGCACACACTCTCGCTCTCCGCCGAAAGATTGATTGCATGAGTATATGCAACGATACATTGATAGATCAAAGAAAAATCTTTTCCAATACCGGAACCATCTATAAACGGATTTGATGTGTCACGAGATTAATAGCATTTGATTCGAATCTTTTCAACTATTCTCACCAATTCGCATGACCTTCAAATGAACGAGAGACTTTTTCTCCCGACATTTCACATTCTATAACAACGTGTGAAATTTCATCTATTTTTTGCGTTTGTAAACATATGGCGAGTCGAAATAATCTCTTTTTTTTGTATTTTATTCTCATTCGACGGATTTGGTGAGAATTCATTGTGTGTCTCGATTTTAAAACTCGAAACAATAGCATGTCTTAAAATAAGTCTCGAATGGAAAATTTTATGATATCTCAAACTAACCCTCTAGTACATCAATTTTTTCAGAGGTCATCGATATTTTTTTAGGTTTTGTGCAAAATGCAAAATTCATCGGTTTGCTTCAAAATCGCTATAAACAAAAATCTGAGAACAATCAAAACCATTATTTTCTTGTTTCAAAAATATTTCCATTTTGATCACGAAATATTTTTCAATCAAAATTTCTTTTTTCGTGCATGTTAATGCAACCGGCTAGTATAAGATTAAGAACAATAAAATGTGGGACAATAATATATATACTCCGCACTAAAGGCAGTGCTATGCACTAGAGGGTTAAGATTTGACAGCGCGCTAAAGAGAAATGTCGAAGCGACTGAGCTAAATAAAAACCTCTGTTTACATACGTTCAAAAAGCGTTGAGCAAAAAAAAAATGAAATAACCACCATCTCACGTGACTCCGTTCACTTTGGCATTAAAATAGCACAAATGACTTTTGTGCGGTGAGTGATTTTTTGTGATGATGTAATTTTTTTTCTGTTGCAGTTGTTCTCTGTGATAACCGCTAGACTTGTAACGATGACGGTTAGACTTTTTTTTCGATATTATGTACATAAATAAGTGATTTGGCAAAATTCATTGTGGCGCGTGACTTTTACACACTTTATTTTTGCTCTGAATCATTTTATTTATATATCCGGATCTTTTTCTTTTGCTACTTCAGTCGATGAATTTACGTCAATTCATTTATATTTCGAAAATTGGTTCCGCATTTTTGTGCGTTTACAAATATATTTGTTGCTATTTTTAATATATCTAACACATGTTTTGGCCAAGATTTTGAATCAAATATATCGTTTTGGTCATTTATCATATGAAAGTTGAAAATATAGCACGTTGACTGATAGATGAAAGAACTGAAATAAGAACTGGCACGTAATAAAAACACGTAAATTGGCACACAGTATCAATGTACAATAACAAGATCAAGTGACATTCACATCCTGAGAGAAATTACTTGTACATGTCTCTATTTTGTTGCACCGTCATTTGCCTTGTTTGACGTCGAATTCTTTATCATATCAAATATCTAATTTGTTTGTTGTCCAGACAGTGGCATTCAATTTCGAAAGTGTTTGTGTGTGTGATCAATTCCTGCCTTACAATCAATCGAATCGTGATTTTATTGACGAAGAATAAGAAGAATGGTCATCAAATTATCACATATGAATAAAATATTTGATTGATTTTTATTGCCGTCAATCGATTTGATGTGAGCATATTTAATTCAAAATAAAGCCAAAAAACAAGCAAATTTCATTCAATTGCCTACATGAAGAACTTAATATGATTCGACAAAATATTTAGATGAAATCTATTTATAAATAATTTTTACTTACCAAGCAAGCCTTTAAAGACTTCCAAGCGTTTCGCGCAATGACGTGTATTTTTGCTGTTTGCGGTTACCAAATAAATATTATTAGATAGCTGCATACAATTTATGCAAGCTATCGGGGATGGGTATGTGTGTATTCTATATATTTAAAGTGTACGCAGAGCGTCGTGCAGCCAAAATTGGAATTATGGTTGCGATCGATGCAGATTCACTCAAGTTATCTCGTTATCTCCGTTTGTCTTTCCGTCTCCCCTAGGGTAGACTGAACGAACACCAGAATTGCGTATATTTTCTTTCTACTCGAAACGAGAAAATATATTTCTATTCTTTTTATGGCTTGGTATCTTCGCAATCTGTATAAACACCAATTCGTTTTTCTCTATTCGGCAAATACACGCACAGGCCGTTAATTTCAATTATGTGTGTATTGTTGCAGCTAATGTGGCTTATTTTTGGACTGAGAGATAATGAGTGTGGGTTGAATCACACCGTAGATGCCCGCCAACTTGATGTTTCTCAAAAAAAAAATCGCAATATTTTATTCGTTCAATGTTTTCGAAACGAATTTTCCTTTTTCCTCGGAATTTCTTATTTTTTTTTTTCTTAATTCTGTGCTTCGATTTTCAGATCATGCAAAATTTGATGACAACAAGACGAAATATAAAAATAACGGGCGTCCTTTTTCTCGAACAAATTCAAAATGCCCAAATTTATTTGTCGAAATTGATTTCGTGTTGTTTACTTTTTGAGCGTATATGCGAAATATTTATGTCACACTTTGAATTGTGGTGTTGTGTGTGTGTGCGATTGAGTAAAACTTAATTTTGGGTTTGTATATTTGTCGTATTATATATGTGTGGTTTGCTTCTTTGTTCTGATTTTTTCCACAAATTTTTTCCAAATTTATCCAAGTGGAGGCATATCCCGATCTCTGCACATTTTTGACGTTACTCGGGAGTTACTCTAGAGTTAGATAGTTGTTAACCAAAATCGTCGAATTGTTGAACGAAAAATTATGGCTGTTTTAGGAAATGAGTTGACACCAGACGATAGTTTAACATGAATGTAAATTACGGACCGAAAAAAAGAGTTTAAATGATTTATAGATGTGATATAGCGTTAGCCAACACGATGATATTCAACTGGGTTTATATGGATTTCCTTATTACTCCGTTTTCTATTTACGTGTTCAGAGTGTCTTTATGGCACTCCCGTCTCTATAATTGCTTTCTCATTGGTTTTGTATTTGATGGTGACAATTAGTGATATTTTCTCTCTCTCTCTCTTTGATCGAGAGTATTGGATGAGGCTATTGTGAATGCCAATAAATTACCGATTCTCTTGTCAAAATTTATCTAATTATTTTGTTGTGATTCACTTTTATCCATGAATTTCATAATTCGATATTGATTCGTTTCGTATAGATAAATTTTCATCATTTGGCACTTGTGCTGATAATAAATTTATTTTTATTTATTTATTTTCAAATGTTTATCAATACTCAATCGATGTTTTATATTATTTGCGAATTTTTATTACTGTTTACTTATTTGATGGTTTTTCTTGTCAACACCTTCTTTTAGCTCCTCCACTCTGGTTCCACCAGGCGATGCAATTTGTTGAAATACGTCTACTTTTAGCACAAATAAAAGGAATCACTATGAAACCGTTACAACAAAATAACGGCTGCTTTTTGATGCTCTTCCGAACGTAAATTACGCAGTTGAATTTTCCACCGAATATTCGTACACACTGTGCATATATGCTCGTGTTTAACTTTTCCAATCCAAATCAAATTGTATGATGCACGTACATGTGTACGACGACAAATATCAATAACAACAAGTAAGCAAGAAATTGGCGAAAAAATATCACTTTCCTTGTCGATTCTCACGCACCGCTCATGTTCCGAGTATGCTAGGCCGAGACTGGTGTGTGTGTCACGGAGAAATATCCAACAACAACGAAAAACACCAGACAAACACTAGTGATGCGAGTGACAATTGGTACGCAATCGCGGAAATTTTTTTCTTCTATTTCGGCTTTGGTGTATTTCCCACAAGAAGACTTCTGTCGAATAACCCAGTGAAAATTATATCTATCCCTCCCTTTCTCTCTCACACTCCTTTTCTCATTCACTTTCTGTCAAAGGCGACGTCGAATTTTCCGGTTACGCATGTATTTCTCTTCTCGTTCGATTCGATGCAATAGATGTTGATGTTTACACACAGAGCATCTATATATTCGTATCTATTTAAATCGATTTGGGCCGCTGCTACTGATATTACGATCTATTTAGGCGTTTCTAACGCATATTTCCCCACTCTGATGTGGAAGATGTTTTTTCTTCTTCTTTTTCTCTCTTTTAAATTAGATGTCCTTCAAAAAATTAGCTGCAAGTAAACAAAAACACAAACAAAATTGATCAGTTTAAAAATATTACATTTGACCGCGAATCAATGCAAAAGCATTTATTTATTTCATATATGCCATCAGTTTCAGAAATTGAAAATCCAAAACCAGAACAATATAAAATGTGTCACAATGTGTGAATGTCTTTCCGAAAAAAACAGAAAAAAAATATTAATGAAATAAACAATTTTAATTTTTCAAGTCATGTGACTGTGATGATTGCAATTGACTTTTATTTATACATCATTTGTTTCATTTTAAATGTTCATTTTTCGTAAAACGCTTGCAATCAGTTAAAGACACAAAGAATGAACAAAAAGCGAAAATTCCTTAGCAAAGAATTTACGTGTATGTTGGTATGTATTTGTACAAGTGTGCTATAACCGATTGCTGTTAATGAATTGCAATAACAGCCATAATGATTCACACTTAAATTTTTTTTATTGTCAATAAAAAGTCACGCGAATACCATGCAAACCACCAAAACAAATCGTGTTGTCAACGCTGTGCCAATATAAATAAAAAGGAAACAATAATAAGTGCATTGTGCAACTGGGCACAATCGTCCACCTGTGATTCGAGCTGTTTTTGCTTGATGTGCCGCAACAGTATTACGGCCCATAATTTACAGTTTCATATTATCAATTGTTTGGAAAATTGTAATCCAATTTGGAAAAAAAGAGAATTTACTCAAGACACGCGAACTTTTTGATCACCGAAACGAAGCCATACATAAACAAGAAAAAAAAAAACATTTTAAGTCGATTTTCAATCTTGTGACTTTTGGCACTAATAATAAATCGGTCTTCTCTCATCTCACCAATTGAACTTGAACAACGGCTAAATGAAATTAACAATCGTTTTTTTATTCGCTGCACATTCAAATTCGATATTTTAATTAACTAATGCAAACTTTCAACTCAAAGTGAACGAGTATCAAGCTAATGGAATGAAAACGAATAGAAAACATGTAAGGTGAAATAGCATCAATTCAACATTAACAACAAAAGTAACAAGGAGGAGAAAGAGAGAGAGAGAGAGGGGTAGAGAGCGCAAAAACAGAAGAAAGAAAATGAATAAAAGCGCAAAAGAAGCGTTCGTCATGTGACGCGCAATGCAAAATGTGGATTATGGAGGATTTATTGCAAGTTGCAATTGCAAAAATCGAGTCATGGACGTTCAACGAACTCAAGCGAGTGAGAACAGTGTGTAATGGTTGTGTTTCTCTATTTCACTTCGTCGTGTGTTTTTTCTATTACTCACTTTATAGTGCACACTTTCCCGATTGACGTCTAGTCGACGTCATTTGAACTGTATGCACTGTCTTGCACCTACCTGATGTGCTACCACCTTATGTATTTGCATTGGATGTTGCAATACATACGCATACAATGTAATACTTCGATCGGAAATTCAATCAGTGGCCAAATGCTTTTAATTACTCGGTTACTTGCACCAATGTCACCTTATATAACATTTTCTTTAACTTTTTATTCGATATATTTTTTTTATTTTACAATCGTTTTTTTATCGCTCAAGCATTTCACCGAACAGCATGTGCCATGTCTCTTTTACTGCTCGATTGCCATTGATATATTTTGGCGGAAATCTCGATTGGAAATGGAAAATTCTCGAAATAAAAATGTAAAATGCGAATGGAACAGCATGTCATGCAAAATAATAGATATTCAATTATGCTGAATGATGATGATGATGATGATGAAATGATACGAAGATTAATTGTTCACAAACCTGTTTTTGAAATGTATTGTTATTGCTTGAGGTAAAATTGTTGTGTTGAAAATAGCTGCCAAACATGCGAATAAATTTCTACGTACAGGTGTTTGGCGTTTTTCAATTTTCTCTTTTCTACAATTAATTTCATCAAATTTTCCGTGTAATGAATGAGAAAACACGACGGAAGGAACCGAACGGCAACGAACAATGAAAAAAATAAATGTGAACAAAACTCAACGCTAACATGGAATTGTATCGAAAATTATTAGATAAAAGTATAAGTTTAATCATCTGCTTGTACTGCACGAGACTAATAAACTTGCGAAAAGTGAATCGAAACTACCGAAAATATTCATCCAAGCTATACATATATTCTTGTTGTTACTGTTGTTGTGCCGTTTTTTCTGTTCCCGTTTTTCAAACGGATAAAATGCAAGTCCATGTAAATGCACACAGACACGTACACGCTACCGATGATCGATTAGATACAAACAAGTTGTAGAAAGAGGGAGAAAAAGATTGAGCAATGTAGAAAATGAGCGAAATAGAGAGAGAGAGAGAGAGAGAGAAAGGGAGGAATCACACTTTGAGAAATGTTACGTTGTGCTTGTATTGGGATGTGCTTTACAAATACCTCACACAAAAATTGTAGTGGTACTGGTTGATTTTGATGAATATTGTTGTTTTCCCGTTTTATTCGTATATGGCTTCCCACGAAATGTGAAAAAAATGTTTGAAAGAAAATTTAAGCAAAACGGCTCATCAGACTACCCAATTTAAAATTTTTCTTCTTCTGTTGGCCCGGTGAATTGCGCAAAAGGTAATACACACATATGCACACTAAGGCTTTTTATCCATTTTTGTTTGCCATCATCACATGATGACGAGAGTTGCGAATACAAAAGCAACCGAAGAACAAAAAAAAATGTTAGGAACAAAACAAAAACAAAGAGAAAAAAAATTGGTAAACAACATTTATAGTGTCAATCGATATGTTGATGTACGTGAGAAAGCATGTTGAATGCTCCAGCCAGTTGTTATCAGGGGAAAAGTTGTCCTAAAATATTTCGGTTTTGTGGTGTGGCACGAATTCAAATTGCAAAAGCAATATTTGCAGCACGAAATGGATAGAAAGAGTGAGTAACAGTTTATCGAGGCAATGTTTGTTATGTTGATGATCCCCTTGGGGTGGCAAGATAAGGGCTTGTTTTATACGTGTTTGGGGCTGGCTTTTGTGTTTTCATTTTCCGTCGCTGCTTTTGTATACTATATGCTTACAATGAGTTTTAGTTTTATTCCTCTTCAGTACTTATTGTGGTAGAACATGGTATGGGAAAAAAGTCTACCCATGTTACGGCCTTCTGTTAAATCAATAGAATGAATCTTGCGCACTGGAAGCATAACACAAACGAACGTATCGTAGGTTGATTTTTTCTCTCTTTATAAACACAAATCTATGCTCTTTTATATTATAAGTCTAGCTATTCATGTAACTGAAATTCTTTTCTCCTCTTCTCTTTTACTCTCTCATTCGAAAGAGGGTCCATTTCTCATTCTTTCCATACCTCTCTATCTCTTTCTTCTCGTTTTCGAAATCGTATTTTATCCACTCGTTTCTTCTTTTCCCTGTAACAAACATTATACTGAAATTGCGTCCTTTAAGTGGTTACCCAACTTGAAAATATCTTCACTTGCGTTTACAAATGAATAGAAAGCAATTGAAATGAATGATGTATGGCAAATTATTATTTACAAACATGAAAAACACTTTAAATCGATTGATCAAACCTCATGAAAAATATCGTATGATTAAAATTCTGAAGGACGATTTTTTTTTTCGTCACTATCATTCACGGTCAAATTAAATTTTTGCCAGTGACTTTTTAAATTTCGATATAAAATATGTTAGCCAAAATACACCATGTTCATGGTTAACATTTAGATATTACAGCATTGCTGCTCTTGTTTTTCTACGGCAAACACATCTCATGGGAAACCGAAGAAACGAAGTAAACATATGCTTATTATTTGGAGAGTATACGCATCCCACGCAATTCGCTTTGTTGTCATATTATCAGTGCGTTGTGTTCCGGTGTGTCCAGATTCTTGTTGGATATTTACTGTACATGTGTGTTGTACAACAATTCCGTTGCACGAATTCTAATTGCTTTCGTCTGAAGAAGAGATGAAGCGAATGAAAAAAAATGACACTCCATCGAAATATTAGCATTGAAACTTGTTTTTTCGGCTATTTAAACACTACATAATTCATTATTTCCCTGTTTGCATCCCAGCAAACAAAAATGTAACGTTTTTCACTCATTTTGTTGGTAGTTTTCATGCCAAATAGAAGGTACACACATAGTATAAATTTGTATGATACCGATTCTTGTTCAAAGTGTACCACAACTGCCTGCAGACTGGATATCAAGTATGAGATGGTGTTATGATTTTGCCAAAGGTTATCATCACAACAAAAATGAGTAAGCGACAAATTCAGTCAATTGTCGCATATCCAAATCCACCACAACCACGTTTAGTTTCCAAAATCGTAGTATTGGTCAAAATGAAACTAAATGACGCCGGTGAATGGGTATATGTAGCAATACAAACCAAAACTATTTGAGATCGATAGATCGTTGCGGCCAAATGTATCATGTACAAAGGTAATCGAAATTGATTTATTAGATTTTGATTGAATGTTTATTATATGGATCGTTGTGTTTTCAATGATAGGCCACTGTGAGTGGTTCGGCGAAGAAATCCATCCATCCATCAGTAAAGCGTCCAAGACCACCACCTCATGATGAATGGTTCTATGAGTATTACGGCGAGTGGTACAACGTAGCGGATATCGGCGAAGACATTTTGCAGGAAGATAAGTTTGGAAATATCATTGTGCATATGCTTGACAATTATTGAACAAACACCGACGTCATTTAGTATTAAGATTAGATAAAATAATGTAACAATACATAAGTGTGCTTATCTGTGGCCTTGCAAACTAATTAGATAATAATTAGGTCTTGATGAATCCAATAGTGGATCATTGCGATAGTCGTACAAGTGCACCGCGTACATCTTGTACGTTTGTAGGTGAGTAAAGTTTATTGAAAAAAGTTCAATATTGATGACTATGAATTATTTTTCTCTTTTTTTCTCCCATTGATGACGGTGAATATGATCGAAACTACACACAAATCTGGGCCAAAATCTTGACCGTGAATTTGTGCCTGTCAATGGATGATTTTGAGTTGGAAAATGTTGCTTGGGATGTCATTCAATCACATCTGTAGTATAGTAACTAAGTTGGTACAGAATAATGCCTTCAAATACAAAAAGGATCACATGCTCTATACTAAATAAATTGAGTTTGGTCAAGATTCTATGTCTAATACCACCACAATTATGCTTCCGTGCGTATTTGAATGGTAGGTATATTCCCATTGCAAATGATTAGTAGTTTGGTTTTTCGTGCGGATGTTTGTTCTAATAACGAATCAATTAATTTTGACCTCAATCGCTTCAAGCGGTCTTTTAATTAAAACCCATATATTTTAGTGAATGAGGAATAGAGAAAACCGCAAAACGAATTTAATGACAATCAAACAACATTTTTTTATCTGAATATGATTTATGCTGTCAATCGCAAGCAATCACAATAAGGAAAAAGACTAAATGCCAATGAACTGACATTTCTAAAAATATGTACTTTCTTTTTTTTTTGTCATCAAAACCGCTTATTGATTGACATCAATTTATTTGCACCCATCGAATGATAAAATATTCATTCAAAACTATTTAACGTTATAATTATACGCACGCATCGGATCACTCACCTCGAAAATCCTAAAAAAACGACACAATGCCTGTTTGTGTTTTTTTCCACTACTGAGAACTACTTCTATTTCTCAATCCAGTACGAAAAAAGCGATGTCAATCACTTTTCCCAAATTTTGTCAATTAAAAAAGAAAACTTCCCCGTTCACGCGCGCACTCTTAAATTACAATGATTGTAAATATGCGGCTCGTGGCCAACTTTTGAATAAATTACTAAACGAGAATCGAATTAATCAAATTTGTTAATTTTTTTTTTGATGTTCCTAAATAAACACAACGTACGAGCGTTAGCTTAAAGACTTTTCGATACACTGTGATATGCATATGTGAAATAATTTCTAATGCAAGTTCATGACACATACTCTCATATCGCATATATGCAAGAGTGAAAGAATGAAAGACGGAAAGAAAAAGAAAACAATTAAGACTTCGATTCAGTTGCATGCAAAATCACGTATATTTCTCTCGTTCTTGCTTACATATGGATAAAATTATGAAGAGATAAAAAAACAACCAGCAACTACACCAATATGTGACACAACTTATTCGAAAATCGACATTCAACCATCGACAGTTAGATGGCGTCACTTGTTTTTTTTTTCGTTTTTAAGTGTTTGTGTGCGATTGTTTAAAAAAAATAATCACCGAATTTTTTATTACAGTACAATTCTTATGGATTAATAGGTGGCGTTACTTCTCCGCTGTCGGAATCCAATTGCTCTACATAATTTCCTTGTTGGCGGTAAATTGTGAATGCATAAAATCCACCATAACCCATTGCCGATAACACCAATATGCCGATTAGAATCAAGACTACTTCGAGCGTAACAGAAAGATGCATTGGAACCACAGGCTTTAGACATTTTCGATCATTGTACCACGTACTACTGGTTCTATTGAACTGTATAAAAACGATCATATTTTAGTAATTTCTAATTTTTTCCATTTTAATTTGATTTACCTGATCAATTGCTTCAAAACAAATTTGATTTGGTGATCCGGGCAAATTTTTATAGGTTTCTTCTAACGAATTAAATTTCGTCAAACATTCTTTACAAACATCCACACGATGTATATCGCCTTCACGAAGACAATCATTCAATATACTGGTACGATTTTTGAAATTGATTATTTCAACATTTTGCTTGCAAAGTTCTTTTACTTTATTAACATCAACAATTTTATCGGCGTCACATTGCTCGACGAAACAATCTGCAATTAAATATAAAGCAATTGAAAGTAGAAAATGATAACTACAGGCTTTCTGACTACAGGCTTACTTGAACAGTCCGCATTGTTCCATAGATTTTTTGCACTTTGATATTGTTGCCATACGATATTTAAGGCATCCTGATTCATAAAGCGGTCAATGCACCGTTCACGGACTGACTTTGGATCACTGACATTTGTCAAGTTGTGAAATGATTGCACAGCTTTTACATATTGTCCAATACATGCATCACACATTCCCACCGGAACTGCATTCCCAATTGTGCACACATCCAATTCACCCAATGACTCTTTCAGTATATTGAATAATTTTCTACATTCATCCTTCGCTTCTGTAATGTTGTCACTGGAACATTTCGGAAAAAATTCAAATTAAATTTGAAAAAAAAAAAAAAACAATTGATTGACAAATTTATTTGACTGAAACGATAGATTAAAAGAGGGTTTCTTTGAAAAATAGATTCATCAAAAAATCATTTTTATTTTGATGTATAATTTTGTTTAAAACTCAAAAAAACAATTATACGGTAATTAACAATTCAAATTTTGTTTCGATTCATCATAATGGCTTTGTAGTAAAAACAGTAGGAAATATTTTTGAAAAAAAAAGTTTGTTTAAAGTTTGAATAAAACTCACCTATGAACGCAGAAAAAACTCGCGAAAAAAATTATTGAAAATAGCCAGTTAAAAATAACCATAATTGCAAGTGTGAATCAGAGTGTTTACGGAATCATACTGGCTACAGCGATCAGAAAACAAAGAAATGAAACCAGATATGATTATTCTCGGTGTTATATAGTTGATAAATTTATACTATGATTCATATATGGTGCAATTAAATGTAAATCCTTTTGTATTTTATTTATAGAAATTTGATACATTATTAAACTGGCCAAAATGTGGATTAACCGCTTCAGTAATTCAATATATTATTTATAAACTTATCACAAATCGCATATTATATTTGAGTTAATTTTTCATTTAATCATGATCATCATTTAATTGATTTTCTATTTTCTTCTTAAATTTAATCTCCATGTGGAATGTTGACAATTCAACAACAATGAATTGTTATTTGGATTTGTTTATATATCAAAAATGGTTCTGTGTGATTGTGTTGCTTTGTCTTTTGTATAATAATTTCATCACTGGATGAAATGAGTGTGATGTATATACAACAATCTAGAATATTTCGATGTTCGAAAATTCGAAAATTGAAGTAAAAAAAAATCGCGCGTAATTGGTCTGAAGAATGACAGCTGTGACAGACAACATAACCAAGCATGTTTAGCGCGTCTGTTGAAACCATTCATCACACGACATTCATTTGTTAAACAACTGAATACCGATACTTCAGCAACGTATATTATAAAAGTTTTCATAGTTTTCATTTGTGTAAAAATTGCGCATTCAACATGGATACGCTTGAATACGGGGATATTTTATGCGAAAGCAAAGGCAACATGGTAAGTTGATCGAAATAAAAAAAAAAATAATATGAAAATGAATCAATGGAAATTTCCATAAAATACATTGTTCAGTACCGTTTATTGATTTGTGTACAATTTCTCTCCTTCTCTCTTTCTGTTGCATGTGGTTTGTGTGTGCAGACGTCTGGCCGCCTCAAAATGACCGATCAAAACATCATCTTCAAAAGCAATAAAACAGGCAAAGTTGATCAGCTAAATGGAAGCGACATTGAGATGGTGAACTTTCAACGATTTGTTGATTCGATTGGTTTGCGTATGTTCACAAAAAATGGTTCTTTGCATCGTTTCATCGGTTTCAAATCAGGCGAAGAGGGTAAACTTGCTGATTTTTTCAAAAAGAATTATGCAAAAGATATGCTTGAAAAAGAATTATCATTACGCGGATGGAATTGGGGCACCGTACATTTCAATGGATCCGTATTGAATTTTGACTGTGACAAAAAGACCAGCTTCGAAATACCTCTACAAAATGTGTCACAATGTACAACTGGTAAAAATGAAGTCACAATGGAATTTCATCAGAACGATGACACACCGGTTAGTTTGGTTGAAATGCGGTTTCACATACCAGTAACGGAATCAGCCGAAGTCGATCCAGTCGAAGCATTCCATCAAAATGTGGTTAAGCAAGCATCCGTTTTGTCTGCTTCGGGTGATGCCATCGCCATATTCCGAGAACTTCAATGTCTTACACCGCGGTATGACTCATTCCATTGCAATGCCATTTTAATTTCTGAATTCGTTTAAAAAAAACTTTTTTCTCTCTTCCCCTTCCCCTCCCTCTCTCTTTTCCACAGTGGTCGTTACGACATTAAAATCTTCCAGTCGTTCTTTCAACTTCATGGAAAAACATTTGACTATAAAATTCCAATGTCGACGGTATTACGACTGTTCCTATTGCCACACAAAGACAATCGTCAAATGTTCTTCATTCTGTCATTGGATCCGCCAATTAAACAAGGTCAAACGCGTTATCATTTCCTTGTATTGTTATTTGGCAACGAAGAAGATACAAGCATCGAGTTACCGTTCAGCGAAGAAGAGCTGAAAACAAAATACGAAGATAAATTGACGAAGGAACTGTCAGGACCGGTGTACGAAGTGTTAGGCAAAATAATGAAAGCATTGGTTAATCGAAAATTGACGGGACCCGGTTCATTTATTGGACATTCAGGTACGCCGGCCATTGCGTGCTCATTCAAAGCGGCCGCTGGTTATTTATATCCATTAGAACGTGGTTTTATGTACGTAAACAAGCCACCGATGCACATTCGATTCGAAGAAATTTCATCGGTTAATTTTGCCCGAAGTGGTGGTTCCACGCGTAGTTTTGATTTTGAAATTGAACTCAAAACCGGCGTTAAGACAACATTCAATAGCATCGAAAAAGAAGAGTACAATACACTTTTCAATTACATTACGAACAAAAAGGTTCATGTCAAAAATACCGGAAAAAGTGTAAGTATTCAACACACGATTCAAGTGTCAAAACACTTATTTGGTCGCAAATAATTTTAATCAACATAAAAAAAATTAAATTTCAATTCAAACAGGATAAAGCTGGTTACAATGATAATGACTTTGGCGATTCGGAAAATGAAGGTGAACCAGATGCATACCTGGCACGTGTAAAGGCTGAAGGAAAAGCTCGTGATTCAGATGACGATGGCAGCAATTCAGATGAATCTACTGATGATGATTTCAATCCAGATGCTGGTGAGTTAATACAAATTATTTTAAGGTTCATGTCAAAACCCGAACAAAATTTAAAAAAAAAATCGCATTATTCGTTTGTTTTCAATAGAAAAAGAAGAAGATGTTGCCGATGAATATGATAGTAACGTATCGACAACAGATTCGTCTGACGGTGAATCGGATGATAGTGCGGCTCGCGAAAAGAAGAAGAAAAAGAAGGAGAAAAAGGAAAAGAAAAAAGATCACCGTGAAAAGACAAGCAGCAGTTCGGTATATAATCAAAAGTCCATTTGCATTTTTTTCTGTCAACAACTTTCCAATCAATTTTAATCGATACTCATAAAATTGTCGATTTCTTTTTTCCCTTCATGTTTCTTTAGTCAAAATCAAAGAAAAAGAAGAACAAAGATGAAAATGCACCAAAACGAGCATCTACCGCATTCATGTTATGGTTGAATGAGAGCCGCGAAGAAATCAAACGTGAAAATCCAAACTTAAAAGTAACTGAAATCGCAAAAAGAGGTGGCGAATTGTGGCGTGAACTCAAAGATAAATCGATTTGGGAAGAAAAGGCCGCAAAAGATAAAGAACGCTACGCCAATGAAATGAAGAACTACAAAGCATCTGGCGACGATTCGGCGTCCAAGAAACGCAAGAAAGAATCATCATCGCCCAAAAAATCAACGTCACAAACAATGGCCGGCAGTGGATTTAAGAGCAAAGAATATATCTCGGAAGATGACAGCTCGAGCGGTTCAGATGACAACAAAAAGAAGAAGAAAAAGGTCAGTACACGACAATGAAAGAGAAACAAAAAGCAATTTGTGAGAGAATTTATTTTGATTTTATGCATTTGCAGAAGAATGAAACGGAATCGGAAGACGATGATGATGAAGACGAAGAAGATGGTAGCGGCAGTGCCAGTGATTAAACAGACCGTTTCCCAGCGAAACTCATTACAATTCTAGATTAAGCCAGAAAGAAAAACAACAACAACAACCAATGTTATGTCTAAGTATTTTTTTAAGCTCACAAATGCATTGGTTTAATAACTAATGAAAATGAGATGTTGAGATTCGTTTGTATGTTTTTATATTAAGTAATATCATTTCCATTCATAATTCTAATGTCTAGTGACATAATATTGAATAAGAATAGTTGAATAAATGATCATTTTCACAAAACATACAATTGTGGCAAAGTTTTTATTTTGACAAATATACAGATGAGAAATGATGGCTTTTTTTAACTTTACGTACAAAAAATGGCCAACTGAATGAGTTTAAATTCTAATTTTCAGTAAAATAAAGATCGAAACAAAAAATGTGAAAAAGAATTGTTTTTTTTTAAATATTTCTGTAAAAAAATATCAAGGCTGAAAATATTATAGTATGCGGAAAAATAAAATTGTTTTGCATAGTTCAGTTTTTGTTCTTTCTCTGTGTAGTTTTTTTTTTCTTCTAACACAATCTCATATGAATTATGGAAAAGAAACCCGAACAGAGTATGTGAGATTAGATTGGATGTGAAGTTCAGAATTCAAACATGTTCACCATGTGAACACATACGTATATAAATATGCACTGGAATTTCGCTAGCAGCACCAACGCACACTCAAACCGAAATCGTTGCTGATCCATTGCATGAAGAAGAATGACCCATACCCAATATGAAGAATGGTATGAGACGAACGCAACGCCAATGCACAAAGCATTCCAATGAATTAGAAAGAGAGAAAGGCATAGGGACAGAGAGAGAGAGAGGAAGAACAACCGATTTAACAACACAAGCATGCATGTACATACACGGTATGTTTAGTGTGTTGACGATAAATACCTTAAGAAAAATTTCTTCTTCTTTCGTTCTTCTTATAATTCTTCCTTCTTTGCATTACCAATAGCATGGTGGTGACTCTCGGTGTTGCGGCTACTACTTCTGTTTCTCAATATACAAAGCATCGTTTACTCTTTAATACACACACGAACATGCTTACATATACATGCACGTACGTGAATACACAAAACTTGCTGGTGTTGTTGTGTGTTAAAGTCTCAGTGAGGTAAATGTCGATCATTCGCATTAAATGTTTATTATATATATACATACAATTTAATTGCACAGCATTAAACAGTGTGGTGGTCGTTTGTGCATTCCATTCCAACTTTCCCGAAATAAATCAACAAATCAGCAGTTTGATGCATGATCTTGTTTCTATATATTTTTTTTCTTTTCGTATCATCGTCGAATAGTAACAATTTCTTCACGAGGAAAATTTGATAATCATTTGTGTCGGTGATAAAATTGTGAAGAACCACGAAAGAACAGTACACAGAAAAAAAAAAAGAATCATCGACCCCGATTAATTGAGTTAGTGTTGAATAAAGATCTCTCTTTCGTTCTAAAAAAGGTGTCCCTGGAATTCGTTGACATAATATTAAATGAGACAAATCAAGTAAAGATTGTATTCCAATTAATCAACAAGTGAACAACAGCAACAACAATAAACTAACAAGCATACCATGGCATTTTTATGCCCCGTTCGAATAGGTCGGAGTAAATATCCATTTATCTATCTTTATTACAACCATCCATTCTTTCGATTCTGTTCCATTACTCATTAATTAAATTCTTTTTTGATGCACCCCCAGGTCGGAGTAAAAAGAAATGTAAGTGTTACAGATATTTTTTTTTTAATTCAGAAAGAAATGTTGAACAATATTTTCCCATGAGAAAGATGAAAGAATAGTCCAATTTTCCGCAGTGAGATGATGATTAAAATGATTTTTTTTTTGTTTATTGTCTCATGCATTACTTATTGATCAGCGGTTAGTGGTGAAATTGATAAGGATTTAACGAGATCAAACAGTGGTCTTGGATTAAATCATGGATTGGGTCGTATCACTGGATCGGCAAGCATTGAAACATTGGTTCGTGTTGGCATTGAGAAAGAGCATGGATTAAGTCCCGACTCAAAAATGGTCGTTTTGCATGATTTCACACCGTGCGTCGATGACGAATTGGAAGTGAAGCGTGGACAAATTGTGAACATTTTATATCGTGAAAATGATTGGGTTTACGTTATTGGACAAGATACACGTCAAGAAGGTTTCATACCATACTCTTATTGTACACCATATAATACACAATTGGCCGATTTGGCCATCAAGAAAAAGCTTCCCCGCACTGAACAAATGCTATACTTTGGCAATGAAAATGGAAATGACAAAGGTACATTTGTTTGAATGGATTTTAGAAATAGTTTTCACACAAATATTTTATTGTTTTTTAGGTGATTCGAATGCAAATACTAACAACAATAGCAATGACACAAATAATAACAATGAGGGAAACAGCAATAACAATGAGGTTGATAATTTTTAACAAAATTAAATTATTTAAAACGGTTTTAAAACGAAAAATCTTTTTTCGACTCTCATTCTTACAGCATAATAATGGAAGTAAATTGAATAATCCGAATTCGGTCGATAATACTGAGGTTTGTTAGAAATTACAAAAAAAAAACCATAGACGTTGACCCAGCTTTCAAAGATCATGATTTCTCTCCTCAAAAAAGTCTGAAAACGGTTTTTTTACTCAAATTCTCATTCTCCTTCGTAATCAATTGGAAACCTTGTTGTCAACACCTATGAAAAATAGCATATTTTAATTGAAAACCAGCCTTTTTTAACGTGTTAATATATTTTCGTATAGCATAACACTGGAACAAAGACAAATAATCAATCATCTGCATCTGAATTAATTGAATTGTCCACAGCCGAGATTCTTGATGATAATACAATGTCTGGTTTGATTGGACTACAAAATTCCATGCTTAAACATTCACAGGCTAGTTTAAGCTCCGATCAAGACTACATTCCATTTGCAAAAGATATTTGCGGACGATACATTGTACTCTATACATTTATCGCGCGCGATGAGAACGATGTGTCAGTTGAGCGCGGAGAATTTGTTACGGGTATTTTGCATTATTTTTTTCACATTCCAGTCATTTTAAATTTAAAAATCGTAAAAAATAAAAATGTTCAATATCAATGGATTTTATGGTCAATATTTGCACAAATATATTTTTTTTATTTTCTTTATTTATTCTCATTGTGGTAAAATGTTCAGTTTTAAATCGTGAAGATCCGGAATGGTTTTGGATTGTACGCAGTGATGGCCAAGAAGGTTTTATTCCGTCAGGATTTGTGTACCCGGCTGATAATATTTTGCAAAATAGTACAAAACCATCGGCACAAAATGCATATAATGCAGCAATGAATCAATTGAATGATGCCCGTCAATTACAGAATCAAACGTCGGAGGCAATCGTGACCAATGATGCGAATACATGTCAAACGCACAATTTGCAAATGAGCACAGCCATCGGCCATGTAAATAATGGTATAAACGATCAAACGATGCTGAACAATGGTGCAACCAATAATTCCAGTAATACCAATAATCAAGTGCAAGTTTCGCAACAGCAACAACAACAACAACAACAACAACAACAACAGCAGCAGCAACAATCCATTATTGGTGGTTCGGAAGATTTGCGCTATCATGGAACTGAATTAGTTATGTTGTATGATTACAAGGTAACGATATTGGAAATTTTCAAGCAAATCAAATTGATTTGAAAAAATGTTTTGCGTTTTTTTTTTTTTGTATTCATTTTGCAGGCTCAAGCTCCAGATGACTTATCGGTACGCCGTGGCGATTGGATCTATGCCGATTTGAATAATCAAACGGTGGATGGTTGGCTATGGGCGTATGCTCCAAAAACCCGAAAATATGGCTTCATTCCAAAAGCATATGCACGCACACCTGCAATGACTAGTCTCTGAGTGGTGGAGAAGAGCAAGAGAGATAGATAGAGATAAAGAGATAACGAGAGCTCCAGTCCAACGAAACAGTGCTATAAATAAAATAGTTATACGTTTAGAGTTTTTTTTAACGATTTTGTTTGTCATCAATTTTTGTTTGTAAGCCTTTCACGATTTACCTTTCGAATCTCTAATATTCTTTTTAAAATATCATATTTAAAATGAATTTTCTATTTTTATTTTTTAAATTGAAAATATTTTTTCGGTCGTCTTTCCAGTGAACTTTTTGAAATGGCCGTGTCTGCATTAACATATTGACATAAAGTCACAGTATAAGTTATTATCAATAATTAGTTATTTTTAATTTATCAATGAACGAACATTACTAAAAAAACAACAACAAAAATGTAAACATTTTTTCAATTTTTTCGAAAATAATAGTTTTTTTTCATCCTTTTATTTTCCTTCAATTGATTATGACTGTAGACAAGCAGTGCACATGTGTCGAATTGTTAGAAAACTAAAATCTATACACACAAATGCATTTTTTTTAATTAGTAAACTCTCCATTTCTTTTTGGTTGGTTGGATCTTATTGGCTTCGTGCACTTTCTTCATTTCTTCGTATTGTTTTCGTATTTCTTCAATTTGTTCCTTAGTTATGGTGCATGGAACTTTTAATGCCATTTGTTCATTTCGTATAAATTCCAAATTCTTCAATTTTTGCTCCAAAAATGGCAATTTGTCTGCATCCAATTGCTTTCGATATGCGTCCAATTTTTCATTTTTAACTTCCTCACAATACGAATTGGTTAGTTGACGCAAACCTTCTTTTCGAGAAATCATGATTTCATTTTCTTTTGACGGTTTGGGCTTGAATTGCAAGTCCAAACGCTCCAACAGCCATTCGTATTGTTTGTAGTCCGTTTGACGCAAATTTTTAAGCATATGAAATCGACCCACCGTCAATTTATGAATTTGCAATCGATAAACTTCTCGCGTTCTACGACGTTCTTTTTGATTTGCAATACACCATTGCATGTATCGAATGCTGCCAGTCAATTGGGCAACTACAGAGTGACAAATAAAATATTGAATTGGTCATACGGCTGAAGAATAGATCGAGTATTTTATACTTACTCATGGCCACTGGCGAATTGTAATCATAAACATGCGATCGAACTGAATCAATCAATGTCTTTTCATAAAATTCTTTCGTATATTTCAACGGATGCCATCCAAGGGTAAATTGATTTCGAACGTTTGGCTCAGCACTAGAAAATAAAGAGCAAAGATATTTAATTTATGTCGAATACGTAAATATTGGTTGTTTTATTTTATCATCACTAATAAAAACTTACTTCTCTAATTCGGACGAAAATTGATACTGAACACAAATATTTGTTGGATCTGGTAGAACAAAAGATCCAATATCACCAGTTCGTTCTGCCTTCCATCGTGAAATTCGTTCTGGTGGTTCCCATTTTATTTTTAAATTGACGGTTCTCGTTCGTGCCAATATTGCTGGATTAATTATTATATTTTTGCTCGAATTTACCTAAGAGGAGAATCACAAAAGAAAAGAATAAAATTTTAAATAATCGATAAGTAATCGAAACTAATCGAAAAATAATCGTAAAACAATCAATAATAATTAATAAGTAATTTTTAAGTGATTTGCCCCTCGAATTTACCGTATGCTTCGTAATTAAACTAAACATTTTGTTGCGGTACAAAAAGGGCAAAAAGTTGAAACTAAAATCTCATTAACAATCTTGTGCAGTATTTTCATTCAATTCAATGAAAAAACTATACATAACCTAAATGTTTGACACAACATGCAAATAGTTCGGTAAAAAGATGTCGGGTCGCTGCATGTCACAACAGCGACATCGCATACTGAAATGCTTTCATTCTGACATTTAATTTTAAAACAAAAGCCGCAGCAACACAAAAAGCTGGTAAACAATTTCTGTGTAGGCTGTGAAGTGTGTGTATTTTTATTGTTTCAATTCAAAATTCAAATTAAAATCGTAAAGTGTCTAACAAACGTGAATATGGTCATGGATTATGCAAACATAATCGATAATGGAGCATATAGTATTAAAATTGGCACATCCGTTGAGAATGATCCAAAGTAAACAAAATCAAAATGTGGCGTTTTCATTGCAAATTCGTGATAAATTCTTTATGAATGAAATGACTAAATGTGTGAATTGGTTTTTGCATTTGTTTTTATCACATTTTTAGAATCATACCGAATTGTATAATGAAGGCAAAATCAGAGCGACGCCGTCCATTCATTGGTGATCAAATTGAAGAGTGTCGAGATGCATCGGGACTTTTTTATATTCTATGTTTTCAAAGAGGCTACTTGGTGAATTGGGATGTCCAGGTAAGTGTCTGCTGCTTCGTTTGCATACATTTTCGATAAAAATTTATTTGTGTTGTTTTTTTTTTCATCTCTGTCATGAATGTCCGAACATGTACAGAAAACTGTATGGGATTATGCGTTTAGCAAAAGTTGTGCATCGGTTGATTTTACACGACCAACAATAATAACTGAGCCACAATTTAATTTTACATCAATTCAAGAGGCGATGACCGAAATTTTTTTCGAAGAATTTGACTGTGAAACGCTGCTACGAACGACAGCCGCCGATTTAGCATATGAAAATTATGCAACAACAAAATCATTGTCGGCACCACATTGTTGTATTGTCATTGATATGGGTTATAGTTTTACGCACATCATTCCATTTGTAAAGGGTGAACGGGTGAAACAGGCGATTCGGCGCATCGATATCGGTGGCAAAGTTTTAACAAATCATTTAAAAGAAATAATCTCATATCGACAATTAAATGTAATGGATGAATCATATGTTATCAATCAAGTGAAAGAGGACTCATGTTATGTGTCACAAAATTTTTACCATGATATGGATATAGCAAAGAAACGAGATCCCAAAAATAAAATCACCCGAGAATATGTGCTGCCCGATTTTACAACAATAAAACGTGGATTTTTAAGAGAACCGGTTGCCGGTAAACAGGCTGATGATCAACAGACGTTACGTTTGTCAAATGAACGATTTACCATACCCGAATTGTTATTTCATCCATCCGATGTTGGTATCCGACAAATGGGATTGGCCGAAGTTATATTTGATGCATGCAAATCATGTCCGGAAAAGGCATTGGGTCATTTATTACCAAACATTGTGTGTATTGGCGGTTGTGCAATGTTTCCCGGCATGGCAGAACGACTGCAGAAAGAAGTGAGAGCTTTGGCTCCCGATTACATTGACGTTGCGGTTACAGTGCCAAAAAAGTAAGCAATTTTCCAAGGAGATGTCTCTTCCATAATGTTTGTTAATTTCATCATTTCAAACCATTTCCTTTTTTTATCACAGTCCAATCACATATGCATGGCAAGGCGGAAAAATACTCAGTCAACAGGATGACTTTTTGGCCAAATGTATGACGCGTGAACAATATGAAGAAGAAGGTGTACGAGGTGTTACCGAGAAATTTGCTATTTAAATAATCTACATATATTTTATTTTTGTAAGCGAGAACAAACAAAGACGGAAAACAGAAAAAAAAATTAAAAATAGAAATCAGTTCAATATTCATGACAATGTGTGGCGATTCAGTTATTCAATGGCGCCAGCTTGAAGTGGATACATTCAAACACACAACAATCTTACTTTATCTTGTTTCGAATGGTCCCATTTTGTTTTCTTTTCACAATGAAATAGTATAGCCCATGCAGATTGAAATCTAAACCATAAAACGAACGTATTAAAAAAAAAGAACATTTTCCTTTCATTTTCTTATTTTGGATTTGTTGAGTCGTTATAAATCGAGAATGTGCAATGCATATTGCATATTCAATTTTGGAATGATCAAAGCCAATCTCCTTATAAATCGACTAAATATGGGCATATTGGTAAGTATATATATGCGTGCAAACGTTGAAGAACAAGAGAAATGAATAAAAAAATGTAGTGGTGTATACCATTCGAATCCGACTAATGATGCTAATGTACGTATGCACTTCGGCATTCTTTTATTCCAACTGTGGCAACGCAACATATACATATCGCTTACGCTTAAATCTTGAATCAACAGCAAAAAAATGTCATAAAAAATGGTTTATAATTTCTGGTAAAGAAGATTTGAGTTTTGTTTTGCTTATGTATAATGTGGAATTTTCCACGCTAATACTATAAAGATAAACAAAGACGTTAAGTCACAATATATACTGAAAAATGAATATTTCCCAAACTTTCATGAGTATATCGTTTGTTTGTATTACAGCTTCTGGACATCCTTTAGTTAGGCGATATAATATCCTGTTCCGATGAAATTGTTTATCTTGGCTACAAGATCTGCTCTAATATCTCCACATTTAATAATAGATGGTATTTTAAATGTGACGGTATGTTGCACCAATAGCAGTAGATGGTGCTGCCAAAACATAGACATCAGATCAATTGATTTTTACCATATTTTTGTTTAAATCGTGGAATTGCTGCCTGATGATTATTCATTCTTCATTTTTAAATGCTTGAAGAATAATTGAAACATTGAATTCAAATTAAAATCGATTTACAAATATCATGAATCGGAATTGAATTTGGTCTCTGAGCTGAAACATTCACGTTTGAAGTATAATTTCTGAGTGTCTATGGTAAACCCCAAAAACAGTTGATTTGCCAGAGATACTTGTGGTTATCATTCGAATCAATGAGAAATCAGTCTTCTTTCTATTACAAATTTGTTATATGTGACCCATCCTAAAAACTGAAACAATAGACCCGGTCTTTTCATGAAACATTTTAAAATGTATCTTGTTTCTTATCTTTTTGGGACATACTTTTCCTTGGATATTTTTGCAGAGAAAAATAAACGATTCAATTTGAATTGTATTACAGTTTTTTTTTTTGCTGCACAAAATAGGATATTAAATCAAAGTAATAACACAAAGTCACAAAATGTGTTTACTATTCGCCATTTTTTGTGACAATTCTATGTTTATATTTATCTGCATATGTTTATATCAGCACATGCAACTAATACACATGCATTGCCTGTGTGTAAATTATGACAAGCGCTTGAACTATACACAAAAATTGTACAAATTTAATTCATGTTTGTGTCGTACAAATCGTGTATGGCATGCACGCTGTTGTTTTTTTTATCTCGGATTTATTCTTTGGTGTAAGTTGGCTTTGAATGTGATGGTGCTTAGTCGTGTTCCATCTCTCGTTGTCCTCTTCGTCCGACCGATAGTCAGTCACATTGAGTGTAAAGTTCGTCTTACATACACACAAACAAATACACAGAAGTACGAGTGTGCGGAGTGTGACTGCTGTGCCGTGTATATGTATGGGCAAATATAATTTGTTGAATGCTGGGCTTGCTATTAACATCGGCGACAGAGTGTGGCATAACACACATCGAGAGATAGATGAGAGTTTTACATGCGTATTATACATGTGTTCGTGTGTATGGTGTTGCTGTTGCTGCTGAGTAATGTTGTTGTCCGCGCGCCATACACCATATAATATTGTTGTTTATTTTTTTGTGTATTCAGTTGAGTTTGTGATTTGAGATGTGACTAAACTCGATTCGAAAAACGCCACCACAACAACTATACACCACATATATTAAAATACCACGAAACGAAACAAACGAGAGAGAGAAAAAGAATACACAGCAAAATAAAACATAAAACGCAAAGCACAAACGCTAAAAGAAACAAGAAACAAACTATATCTATATAGATTTATTTTTTTCCCTGTTATTTTCTTTCATCTTCTTTAAATTGAAGAGTGTGATAGAGCGAAAGAGAGTGAACAGCAAACGAAACGCATTCTTAGTTTATTTATCGAGAAGATCCTTTCGGAATTTTTATTGTGTGTATTATTACATTCTTATTAACCGATAATTCAGTACAATAACAACAAAAACGACGGCGACCACGACAATATATACCGTCGTCAACATACTCACAAAATTAAAGAATAAAAAAATAATTAAAATTAAACCGAAAACCGATCCATGAATGTGTTTGTGTGGAAAATTTGTTGTTTAATCATCAAAAATAACCAATAAAAATCATTGAAAAACGCACAGTGAAAATATGATACATTCGCACACGCCGTCACTGCCGGTCCCATCAACCAAATAAATCAAATTCCATCGGGTGAAACAAACACATTTTGTTTCGTTATTGCTCGCATCAAATTCAAAACCCAAAAGAAGCAGAGAAATGAAAAATCACAAATGAAATATTGATTGAGATTATTATTAGCGAAGTGTTTGATTATTCGAAAACATTTGATTTGTTAAAAAAAACAAAAAAACACCAAAAAAATGTGTATAGTTCGTATTGCACATGATTTATTTTCGATGACTAACAGTTTTGTGCAGTAATTTTTCGCTTGTGTTGTGTTTTTTTTCTGTTTTATTTGTTTAAAAAAAAGAATTTGTACGTGTTAAATGAATGGTGTTTTATATGTCTGTGTGTGCATGCACAAACAAAGTGTGCGATCACTTACCATTGAGGATTAGCTTGTGGTCGCTTGTGGCTGTATTAATGAATTTGAGTGAACGAAATATAAATAGTTACACAAAATAAAAACGCCAAAGATAATACGATTGAATAAAAATGCACTTCGTCGTTTTCGGAGAAGATACAAAAATTAATAAGAAATTGCATATTTTTTAAATAAAAAAAAATTAAGGTGATAAATCAAGTTTTGTGGTGTGGTGGCATGGTGTGTTTTCTATGTATATGTGCAACAGATTGAAAGGTGATTTGTTGTTGTTTCTTTGCCATTCGAATTGTATTTTGGTCTGAAGTGGACGAGATTGTGCCGCTGTGTGTATGTGCCGGATCACAATTCTTATAAAATGGTGTGAACGAAAACCGATTCATCGTGTCATCGCCTATATTATCTTTCTTCTCAGCTAATATGGTTAATTGGTATGCAGATTTCATAAATGTTGAAGTTTATATCTTTTTTTTGTCTTAAAATGCAGTGGGTTGTTGTTGATTTTTGTTGCAAGAATACTTTTATTATTACTTTTTAGTTTCGATCGGTGTGCATTGTATGCTGTTTGCCTAAGAATTATTTGTTATTTTTGTTTTTTGTTTTTTTTTGCTTTCGTAAAGAAAGGAAATACCAAATCACTCGCACTCGTACATTTGTGTTCGATCGAGTCATTCGATTGAAGTGTATGTCACTCGAGTTTTGTGGGTGCATTGGCATTCACATGCAATAACAATAAAACAAACAGCAATGTGCGGCGACAACAAACGATATAAATCGTTTATTCGCCTTCGATTCAATAAAAGTCAAAATAACAAGGAAAATAATCATATAAATATGAAAGACACGAAGCATGCGAAAGAAATCGAAAGAGACGAACAGAAACTAAAGAATTGGTTTATCAAATCTCTTAAATCAGTAAAATTGTAAAAGGTATTAGTGCATTTTCAGGCAAATGTTTACTCTTATTATTATTCTTCTTCTTTTTTGCCTCAACTTTAAGCTGTGTTCCCATGCACATTATAACGAGCGAGAAAAAAACGCGCATCGAGCGCCTCGTTTCTGCTACGAAACCAATAAGCTCATCATCGTCATCTATGAACAAGAATAAAATGAATACGGAATAAACGGAAATCAAAGTTTCCATCGCTAATTTGCTCACAATAAACGGCAAATGGCACGATTCAATTCGTTTATTACATTTTTCAATTTCGTTGAATCATTATAGTTTGGGTATCATTGGGTTTATGAGAGACCCATGATCACATCACTGTATGGCGGACGCCACAATAATCATGACTCTATTTAAAAGTGTGATAAAACCTATAGTCATACAAATTCAACTATGCCAACGAACGAAATAGAAGAAAAATGTAATAAAACTATCGATAAATTGTGTTTTTTTTTTTCTTTTAAATAGTAAATACGTGTGAATTTTGAATTGAAATAAATAATGAGACGGTGACACAGAAAGAAGGACATATTGATATTGCCGATCTGACAACCATGTAGATTAAAACATGGTTCCCAAACAAATCATTCGCAACAAAGCAAACAATCTTATTGCATCTTTTGTTTTTGTCGATTTCTCAACATATAGTAAACCTTAAGAGGTTTGCAACACATCGAATTCGAAAACATTTTTTGTTTTTTTAATTTTCACCAACCGACAATGTTGTACACGAAAACTTGCTTTGCGTTTCTCTCAAAATTCCAATTATACATTTAGATTTGTTGTTTTTATCATGGAATCTATCATAATTGCTAGTGCAATCTTTAGCTCGAAGTGAAACGAATTTTAATTTAACGTGCCGACAGTATTATATCTTGGTTGTTCATGCAAAAAATACTGTGCTCAAGGTGACTCAAATAGTATAAAAATGAGTAACAAACAACTAAAGTGAGCGAGAAGGAGAGATAGAGAGAGGGACGGGAGAGAAAACAACAACAAAATTACAATATTGAAGTAAAATTGCCCCTGTCTAGAAATAATCATGGCCAAATTAAAATATAAAGTCTGTTATTCCTGAATATGACGAAAAAAAAAAAACAATTTTATTGCTGTACTTATGCCTTTCTAATGTACGACTTGTTGTTTGTTCAGCGTCATTCCAAAAAAAATTCATGCAACTTTTTTTTCCCTCATCACATGAAAACAAAGTCTCTGTGTGTGCACACATGCAGATACAAAAGACTCATATGACTGCATATACTTATACATAATACCTCAATCTAAGAAAGTATTTTGTTTTTGCTAAAATGCGTCAAACGAAAGTGACAATAATTATGAAATTGTTGTAATAAGGTGTGCCGTTGTTGCAAAAGAAGATCTGTGTGTTGAACGGAACGCACTAAAATCATGTAACAACATGTTGATGGCTTTTTTATTGAACGGCTTGCATGAATGATGGATGCCTCTTAAGTGTATTCAATGAATTAGCACGCTTGAAGAAGAAGGTTTCTTCCGTTGTGTCATGCCTTGTACTTTGTCATTCGCATTAAATGCGACTTTGTGCGAGTGCGCGCGTCGAACATTCCTTGTCAGAAATTGTTTTTGTTTCAATTTTAAAATATTGTAAAAACATAGTTCAGCAATTTAAGGCCAATGAAAGAAAATTGTTTCTCATTCATAAACAAAATATCATAACGTAATCTCGTTGCGATTGGAATTTCAGAAAAAAAGAAACTCAAATAGAATATGCGTATCCGAATGATTGTTTTTGTTTTCTTTCTCAACGTTGAAAATATCTTCTCGATCATAAAACTGGCACGCAGTTCTAAAATGAGGCATTGTTATGCATCAATATTTATATGCAAATTAGATGATTGTGTGTTGTGCTGCATACTACAATCTACTTTTATTGAGTGAAGTATATGGAGAGTACAGCCGTTAACAAGGCATTTAATTGTGTTGATATGCAAATGAGAAAAGGAAATCTAACAGAAAAAATCTGTCAATTGATGCATATCAGCCACACAGATATGCACAAACACTATAAATGAATATATGGTACGCGTTTTACTTTTAAAATGTACACCGCATTTATTCAGTACGCTACTTTCTTCGTTCCAAAGTGACCAAGATGCAAATTGTCATAAAATGTCGATGCGTTTAAATGCTGTTTAATTTTTTTTAAATCATGTTGGCATTCGAATTTGGTTCAGCGTATTAAAATAGAAATGGCGGCATATAAACTGAAAATGGCCCAAAACAAATGAAGATCAAATAAAATGTGATTTATTTATTTTATTGTCTGTTAAAATATTTTCCCTACGAAATGAAATGGAGAGACCGAGACGTGAATGGCATTCTATGTAAATAACACTTTTTCTTTCGATGTCACCGTCATCGTCGTCGGCAGCAGAATCGATTGTTTATTTTGGCTCTCCTACCGTTTTGAATTTTTGATTCAAAAGTGATCGGCTGCATAATTTAATGAGCATTGTTATTTATTTCATTTGAAGAATATTTTTAAAGCAGTTTTCGTTTATTCGTTTGTTGAATAGACGTTAATTTTTTTTGTTGGTGCATATGGTCGGCATGTAATTCCGGAAAGAAACGAAAACTGTCAAAGCGAATGCACAAGATGACCACAACATGTGACAACCAGGTTGAATAGTCGAAATTCCTTACAATTCAAACAAAAGAAATGAAATCAGTCGTTTTGTTTGTCTATTCTTCTTTCTCTGTCTCGCAATTTTTTTTTTCATTCGCATGGAGTGTTTTCTGCTTATCATGTGAGCGGTCTTCGTCATTCATTTGCAAAAACAAAATATGGAAAAAAGAGAATTGTCCGCTTTTCTTCTAAACCATGTTCGACACATGATCCGTATCATTTTACGTGATGTGTGTCATGACTATAAGCATCTATTGCATATTTCCAACTGGTGTGCTTTGCATTCGTATTTATACAATCACATAAGGTTCGGGTTTGTTTTTTTTTTTTTTGCTTTGCTGCTCTTCTGTTCCACCGAAACAGGAAAGGCAAAGTGTGTATGAGTGCGAAAAGTGCACACATGCTGCCCCGTCTCAATTTATAATGCTACTGCGACGGCTGTTGCTACAGGCAAATGGACGTGAGTCTCTTTTGTACATTCGTATTTGGAGAGATATTTTAAAATATGGGGTATATGTTCGTTTTTTCTCTTTCGCACTCCTTTTTAATCGCCGTTCAAATATTGTATTCATTTGCTGTCGTCGTAGCCGGCATCGTCATCATAGCCGTTCATAAAGCCAATCGAATAAATTACGCATAAGCTCAAATGAACGCAAATAGCACAAATGATGTACAAATTTAATCGTATTTTTTTATCCATTCGAATTAAAAACTGTACGAATTGAAGATGGAGTAAAAAGTAAAGACGAAAATAAACCACGCGCCGCATTCAACTGTCTTCAATAAATTGCGATGATTTACGTGTACTTGAATTATTTGATCGTGCAACGTACGTTCAGCTGTTTAACTCTTTATCTCTTCGCAATTAGAGTAGCGATAAAGTTTATAGTTCAATGCAAAGAGAGGATGGTTACGGGCATGGTTTGGTATTTATGCGTGTTTACGCGTTCGACCGACTCACGATATGCTCAATTTCATTTGAACCGAAAAAGGAATTCAAACGCAATCCAATAAGCAAATTAAGGCGAACCATTATACCGGCACAAACAAATGCGGTTATTAACTAGTTTAAGACACATTATAAGTCTTTTCTATTCTAATCTGGAAAGCTGTATGCCATTTTTCCGTCTTTGTTTTTATATTGCCGGCATGATTCACACTGGAATGGACAAAGCGCAATTTCTCTCGATCTCTCACACTCTCCCAATCTTAATTTATTAAATGGAAATATGCGCTTCGCAAGTGGAAATATGCATTTGATATTTAGATAACATTATTTTATCGATGAATCGTGAGGGAAACATCGATAAAAAAAAACTATTTAACGAGAGAAAGAGGCAGCTACAAAATTGAGATGGAAAAATGGCAAATGGAAAACATTTTATGAACAACTTCCATTGACCGCGAACAGTCGAACACAATTTATTCATTTCACAAGAACTAGACACATTTTGTATTGCCAATGCACAACAAAAAATCGTACAGAAAAATGAAATACAACAACAACAAAAAGAATAAATAAGCATGCAATGAAAACAAAAGCAACAAAAAAGCGCACATGCATTACACACCATTTCTCAAAAGCAATCAGTCAGATTCTATATTTTTCGCAAACGCACAATATTTATTAAATTTAACGGGGCACATTTCTCTTTATTCGTCAGGTTTTTTTTTTTGATCGGTGTGTTTCATCATTTATATAATATTTATGCAAAACGAACGAACAAATACAGAGAGATTGAGAAAAAAAGAGCAAACAAGATAGTGCAAAAATAAAAAGCGTTCTTCAAATTGCGCACTTCATCAATTCAAATTGGATAATGCGGATATTGTAATCAATTTATATGGCCATTGCAAATTGGGGGGCTTTATCATTTCAAATGTAAACATGTTTTTTTTGTGTCGTCTGCCCATCATTTATATTTATTTATTTTATGACATTTATTTCATAGCATTCGTTGATGGTACTTATTTGGCACTGGGTGTCACCAAGTAAGAGAGAAGAAAAAAAACAAAGAAAAATCTTTCAATTGAATTCTGAATCACTTTGAATATGATCTGGTTAAAAGTGTTTCGTTTCGTTTGGGTTTTCATTCTGCCAGTAGTAGTAAAGCCGATATTTAGAATCATGACAAAACAAAGAAAATTAACGCTTCAAAGTTATGTGACGCGCCTATTTTTCCCCATTGTTGCATCTATAATGTGATACTGAAATCGAATCCATTTCCCGTTCAATGGGCCGAAATGGTGATCGAGTTTAATTTGTGCGCATCGGTACAAAACATGTGGGTTATTTCATGACAAACAACAAAAACAACGACAGCGGCAGCATAAACAACAAACGATAACAATAAATTGAAATGCATGTGTTGGATGGGTCGTTGAATGTTTGCCCTCTTCATATATACACATGGAAGCACTTTGTACTCTCTTGTTCCTTCCCAAATGCTCGACTTTGTGCGTAAAATAAAGTTCAACATTCAATTGAACGCACCAAAAGCAATCATGTAGACCAGCATCGTTTGCAATAACAATAACAAGAAACGATGACGGATAGTGATGATATTTCTGGTGTTCTTGCTTTATTTTCAATGAACGCCATCATCGTTCTTCATTTTCTTTTTTCATTTCGTTTGTTATATTGGTCAGATCAATCGAGATCGTTTCGAAGACTTTTTCTTTGGACATTGTCGCTTTTACTATTGATGAAAATCGTATCGCCATTTTTTTTCTTCGCTTCTTAATGTGCCAATCGACAGCTCGATGAATGCATCAAATCAAATTAAATTAAATTAAAGTGTGAAAATATTCACATCAATTGCAGACGCCTCATGGAATTATTATCGCGCATTAATTTGTGAACACAGCGAGTGAGCGATGAAACAATCTCGAAGAGAATCCACGGGAAAAAAAAGAAAGCAATATTGCTCAGAAAAATGTACACCAAATTACCATTTAACATGATAAATAGACACTCTCATCGCAAGATTTGATGAGAATTTCGATGATTTTTTTTCTTTTTTTTAATGCAGTTCTGATTTGTTATTTTCTCTTTACAGCCATTTGCAATAATATAACAACGGTATGGTCGATCGTGCATGTCGCATGTGCTGGGAATTCGTGAACAACAACAAGGCTAACACCGACAGTATACCAAATAATTAGTATCGCATTCTCTACCGCAACAGCCAAGAGAATAGAAACTAATCAAATGAGAGGAATATATATGAACAAAAAAAATTAAACATAGAGCGAAAGGGAAAAAAGAGCGATAATGAATGAGTACGATCACACCCAATTTAAACGTTTGCATATGTTGATATTGTAATGCACTGCATGTGTGTGTATGTGAAATATGTTCACTGTGCATAACCAGATTTTTTTTCTTCAATCTACAAACGCAATGAAACACATCCAAGTGACAAACCCAAAAACGTTGCACAACATATAAGAAAATAAATCACGAAAAAAAGAAAAAAAAAAAACGCTTTTGTTAGTGACCAAACGTAGCAATAAGAAGAGAAAAAAATTTATTTTATATTGAAGAGAGAAGGTAGACAAAGAGTAGAGAAAGAATAAACATATATTTATAAATATGGGATTAACATCATCAAGAGAATCGGCTGCACAATCTCCTGCATCACCTACGCACAATGACACCGGCAATGATTTGGCTGCCGTGTTGGCCGGCACAGCAATTACAAATGTAACACCAACAACAACCATCAAACGAACATCACCGTCAAAGAGTTTTCACAACAATTGGAAAGCGGGACAACAACAACAAAACCATCATGTACGACAGGCCAGCGTCCGGAGTCGAGCCGCCGTACCAATGCCCGATCACAGTGAACTCGACAAACGATTTGCCAAAGTTTTGGTAAGTTTTTCAATTTCAATTCAATCGGATGAGGCGCATGAATCAGAGAAGAGACAAAAATAGAATTAAATGATTTCATTGAGGTGTCACACGCCAATCGTCTTTGATCGATTAGCGAAAAATAAACATGACATTGAAATTTTGTCGAATTAATCATCACATTTATCAGTTAAATTGATTAGCCCCTTTTAAAGATCTAGTATTTATTTGAATGGCAAATCCATTTAAATGACTTAAAAACATATCTAAGATTATTTCGTATCATGATTATCATTCACCTTCGCCTTCGGTCAGTTTATAAATCATTCAACAGAGTGACTGAATCTCATTGGAAAAATTATCGACACAACAAGCAAAGTGTGTTTTTGTTATCTTGATTTTGTTTATCTCGTTGAATAAATTTCGTTTTTTCTTTACTTGGACTTTTGGACGAATGAAAATAAAAAAAAAAACATAAACGAGAGTACAGAAAACGAGGCTATTTCTTTTTAAATGTATCAAATGTTTATTTTGATGTGAATTTTTATAGATAGAAACCGTTATAATAATGACGACATGATTAACAGCAATGCGTTCAGTCCAATTGTTATTTATTTATTCTAGATATATAGACTGAATATTACGGTTGTTCAAATTAAACTTTGCGCGCAGTTTGCTCGTCCGTGTATTTAAAATAGAAATTAAAGGGAAATGAAAATTTCAAAATAAAAAAAAACTTTAATGTTGTCTAACAACAATAAATTCGTAATTTTTTACAATAACAATGCTAAAAAAACCACAAGCGGAGAAAGAGAGCAAACCTCAAATGTGAACAATACAAATGTGAATATGGTTCAAAGCGACAAGTGATTATTATGCCACAGAGAAACGCAATCGAAAAAAGGTATTCACATTTGCGAGCGTCGGTTTTTTCGCATCGATATTCTTTTTCGTTCCACGTGTATTTTTTACATTGTGTGTGCAATCAAATTGGAAAAACGAAATCATAGCCCACTTTTTTCTATATGTACACACACACATACAAAAATAATTCGAAATTGCGCTTGAATTCGCAATTAACAACATTCAAACACAATTTGTTGAATTGGACAAATGGTCGGAAATGTTGAGCAAACATAAAATTGAACGAACCAGAAAAAAAACGAAAGCACAGACACAATGTGTGTGTAATTCTTCATTCAGTTTTTCAATTCAAGCGTAATCAAGTGCTTTTGACACAACAACCAAAGCAGCCACATATTGTTGATGATAATCCTCAAAAACAAATTGGCTGCAATTTCATTCACATCGACCAAGCAAACCAGAGATGCACAATTAAAAATCGCTTGCGATGAGAACAACGACAAAATAAAAAACAATATGAATTATTATTGTCTTTTTTTATCGTTCAAATACACACACTTCGTGAAGTATTCTCTTTATTGAAATGACACAGACAGTATATCGTATGGTCGACTCAACATTTTTGCGATTGATATATAAACAGTACTCGTCACACTCGACATTTATTCAAATTTTATTTATTTGTCGAAATGTTATCCATCAAAAAGAAAAAAAAAGAGAGAAAAATAACAAGCACTCGTGCGCTCACTCACATAGACGCAACCACAATCAGACTTACTACGACCGTGTAACCGAGAAATCAAATGCCATATCTAAATGGCACGAAGGATTTCTTTCAGTATGAGATCATGAGTGAATCATAGACGATTGTTGTTGTTGGTTCTTTGCCATTTGTGTATTATGATATGCGTCGTCATTTTGGTGAATGCTCTCATCTCTGCTATTTATTTATGAAATGACTAACAAAAGCATTAGAATTGGATTTTTATGGTTTGTAATTGATTCGTTCGGGACAGTTGTTGAATTTATTCCGTCATTATCGAAAGCATATGCGCTTGTTTATATCGCGCGTGCGAATCATCACCAGATTAGCCTCAATAGAAACATTTAAATGTTCATTCGTATATACTGGTTCTGCCGTTTTTAGCGCTTTCGATTCTCGAAAATATCATTAGAATATTAAGTAGGCTCTCTAGACGACGTCGAAATGACTGTCGTTTGCCATTCGTTATTTTATTGCAAATATGATCAATTCAAATATGTTGTGCTATCCATAGCAAAACATAAAAAAAACGTGAAAAATATGGCTAATCAACTGTTTGATTAAAGTGGAATTTTACTTTGAATTTGATAAGTATGAGAGAAAAAAAGTTGACTCATGCATTTATTTTCATTATCGCATGCAATTTTTTTCAAGGCACAAAAACCTGACCGGCCACTGCTGTTTTTTTTTTCTCAACATGAATGTGACTGAAAAAAAAAAAAAAAATTCAAATTCTTGCCTAACAAAATCAATTGATGGCGTCTGTTTCATATATTACGTTGTTGCGTTCAAATCTGGGCATACAATGATCCAAGACAAACATGTACACATATTAAAATCGTTTAAGGAGAATACATTCTTGATAATTGGTCGCCTTCATTCGAAATGAATGATTTTTAATATTTCGTTTTGGCCAAGTGTTGACGAACCGTCTATTAATAAACACTGAAAATAAATATAGTGTATTGGTGTTGTGCTTAATATTACAAACCATTAAATTCATAGTCTCAAAACTACCTTTTTTTATCGAAGCACAACTATTTCTTCGTCGTTCCGAAAACAAACAAACAAACAAAAATAACGACTCTCAATAAACATGTTTCACTCTCTCTCTTTCCTCTTCTCTGTGTTTGTGTGTGTTTATGCATGAGATTCATGCTCGTTCAATTGATTAAATGACAATTAACCTTAAGCTTCTACTTAAATTGACTCAATTTTGATGCCCTTTCCCACAAATTCGATATCACCATTGCTCCCGATTTTATAGTGTTTTGTCAGTGCTATATTCATTTCGGATTGGTTGTCAATATCTTTTATTGGAGACCGCAAAAAGAATACCATAAAATCAGTGCTAAAGCGAACACCTTAACGTAATTTACTGATAATATCAATTTAATGGATGACAGTTCAATAGCACAAACGATGTGTGTATAGCGTAAACTATTTTCGATTTCGACCCTAGTGCGCTTTACCATTGTGATTGGCACAAATTTGCCAACTATCGCTAACGCTATAAAAGTTTTTCAACATTTGTGTGATATAAGGAAAACATTTCTTTTACGATTTGTCGTCATCACTGTGTCGTGACAATAATAATTAGTTTTTAATTAAATGGAAATCAGTTATTTGGCAAATGGGGCTCGAAAAATTAAATCGAAGAACCAGCACAACTTTGAACATTAACCAAGCAAACGGTTTTTTTAAAAGCTGCCATTAACACCCAAAGTATTGCGTCGAGAACGGGAAATGAGGTCGACCAAAGTCATTTAATTGGCAAAAACCACTACATTTTACATATACGTTGACATGTTAACATTAAATTCATTCGCCGGTGGGGGTGAACCTCCTACTACCACATCAACATAATATTGCACAATCGATAAATCGCTTTGGTTGTCTCCATTTTGATAGACACCATTTTACGATTTCGAAAAGTGAAAAGCAATTTATCAAACTCTGCATTCATAAACCTGACATTGACGTTGAAATGAAAGCTCAATTTAAAATTGCTCGTACAATCAAATACACATAAAATCGACAAACCGTAAATACAGACTTCTTTCAGTCCATCCTTTATTAAAGTGTATTTTATCGAGACTTGATGACGACAGGTTCCATTGTGGAGAAAAGCAAACATACACATATTCATATATGCAATTAGGTGAATGAACTGATTTTCACTAAATGTCGCTGATATAATCAATTAGTAGAAGAGGGGGGGGGGGGCACAATTCATGTCGAGGAAAAAGAGAATAATTGAAGTGAGTCAGTAAATCAGAGTGACATGTCTTGAAGAAGACCAACAACAACAAGCTCACAACCAGTTTCACGTTTTTCATTTTTCCGCCGGCATTTTCCGGTCGATCATAAAAACTTTTTACGAGGTATTAATTTAACGTGTGCTGAAATCTAATAAAAATTAATCGTTTCAAATGGTACTTTTAAACTGGAAATGAATATAATCACGTTTTTAGATTTCAAATGAACCGCACAGAGATGGGCGAATTTAAAGCTGAATCATCAATTTTGAAAAAAAAAAAAAAAAAATCGTTTTGGTTTTTGATCTTCGAAAGAAAGAAAAAATCTCACCATTCATGAATTGATAAAGAAAATGAAATGCATAAATCAATCAGCTTTGTGTGGCCCATCTCTGAATTTCTCTATTCGGTCGATTTGAATTTGATGAGTTGAAGCTCACTTGAAAAGTGCAATATGGGTAATCAATGGAAAAGGACTGCGTGGCAGCGGTGGCGGTGGTGGCGGCACTGTCGGCCTCATTCATAGTAAACGTTTGCATTTTGATGTGTGTTAATCGTAAATGGCACAGCAGCACCAATCAACAAATCGTTATTCATAAAAAAAATTGGTCTTGTATGTATTTAAATGATAATGAACTTCCTGTGGGCTTTGATCACTTGCTTTTTTCGTTCGTTCGTTCGTTCGTTTATTCGTTGATTCGAGTAGCTCGCATTATATTATCCATCGAATTTTATATTTACTGTACGCATTTATCATGTTTATTTAAAATATTTGTATATAATTTCTCCACATTTGGCTGCCGACAATGATTAGAGAATGAAAACGATGAAAACATATACGAAATGTGGCTGTTACACCGAAAAAAACAACAACCGAATAACAAATGGTTCTTAATCAAGCAAGTCAATTTCATTACATGATTTTGACGTTGTTGAAAACTAAATTTCAATTTCTTTCAGTTCCTTTGCTCATCATCTTTTTCTCTGCGTTAAAACTATGTTCGAAACATTGCTTATTTATTGCTTACAGCAACAAAAAAAAATCATTTAAAAAAAGAAAATACAATGAAAAACTATTGGGCAAAAACATGATTTGGATACATGAAAATATAACATCGTTTAAATTCAAACAATTTATAAATTGAACTCATAATAAATGGATTTTTGAGTAATTTGAAAGAGAAAAAAAGATTATGTGGAATTGTAACAAATTTGGTCTGGCATTACACAAATATGCGCCTGTCAAGTTGTGATTGAAATTGACCAAATCGGAAAAGAACAGATTTCAACATAACAAAATAAATTGAAATATATATTTCCCGCCCTCATTGAATATCAGAGAATATAAATGTATATCCATTATTTGATGATAAAATTATGAATAAAAATGAAAAAAAAAAAACGAAAACATTGATTGAAGAAAAAACTGTGCAATCTTGAATCTTAACGGCATTATTTCTATACATTCTATTTCTTGCTTCGATCACATCATTGTTTGAGCGATAGTTGAATATGGTACATTTAAGTTGAATATATGAAAAGAAGAAACAAACGTTCCTCTCTCTCTCTCTCTCTCTCTCTCTCTCTCTCTCTCTTTCTCTTGTTGTATTTAATGTAATTTTTGTGTTTGCTTCAAAAAATGTATAAAAGATCACTGGCGGCTCCAACAATGACGATGATATATAACAGATTGCCATTTGATGTGTTTGTGTATCTGTGTATAGTATGTGTTACAGTTTAATGATGACTTTTAAGACAAAACTGATTTGAACCACTTAAATCATGGACTTAGACATTGATACATATGAGTTGCACAAAAAACATGCACAATATTGCCTTTAAACAGTCTTCGTATGCATACTGATGCCGTATGAACAGTATCTCTTGTATTTGAATGAAGCACAGTGTCTTTCTTTCTATTTCTCTTTTATGTATATGCAACTTTTTAATCTTCTAACAACTGATTTGATCTTTGAACCATTTCAGTAAAAACAGAGGCTGTCTCTCTGTCTCTCTGGTACATGATGAAAACCCAGACCAAGAATATCGAGAGAAAAAGCAAATGCAAGACTCTTAAAACGATACGATCAACGGAACGATAAGTAAAACCGCATGCATTTTATGTGATTCCATTTGCCATTTTGTGTGTTATCATCAAACCGAACCGAAACCAAAAACTACCATATGGTTGTTGTTTGCAATGCAGCCTTTTCACTTTTGCCGATGAGCCGAAAGTCGAGTCGTTCGGCGTGTGATCGATTGTACAAAGTTTTTCAGTCTATATTAGTCTCAGCATCAATCAATTTCCATGGGGTTCCCCTTTTCTCAGAAATATTTTTTTTTCTTCTTCATATTCAATGTGCGCGCGCGCTCGTTTGCATTTGTCATTTCCTCTCTTCGTTTTGTGTTGTACTATTCCGAGTCGATTGTGTGTATATGTACAACGAAGGCATTTGCACAAATTGAATATTAACAATTCATTCATTATGTTGTTTTTAAAAAGTTTGATCTTTTGACAGTGGATAAGCAAGTTTTCTTTGTTTTCGGTCTTTGTATAATCATTCTGTAGATTTTTTTTTTCACTCTCCATTGAGAAACCTTTGAATCCGTTGAATTGCGATTAAAATAGAGATTTCTTTATGCATATCGTGTCACCCTTTTTCATAATCTCAAGCCAACATTCATAAATCACAGCCCAATTAATAGTATGCCCATTTACGATTTATGTACTATCTCTCTCTTTCCCATGATTGACATAACGATGTAATATCAAAATATAATGTGCGCTCTTTATCTGGAAAACTGAATGTGTTTGTTTGGTTATGGCCTTGCTTCTTTTTTTTCGTGTTTAAACAGCCAAACATGCCATTTTTGAGCACTTACTTTTACCACTCACTGTGAGATAGTGAGAAGTTACTTATCACACTGAGAGTATACTATGTGACAATTTTGTTTTTTTTTTGTTTTTGTTTTTTGAGAAAGCGAAAATGAACAAATTACAACAATTTGTGCGAATAGGTTTTGGCGGAAACGAAGCGCACAAAAACAGAACGAATGATCGCAATAAAAACAAACGACGAAAGAGAGAGAGATTGAAAGAGTGAAACAAGCACCATTATGAATATTTATGGCTGAATGTTACGATTGAAATATTAGATCAAATTGCATTCACATTGTATGTACACACATTTATTCAGTTGGTTAAATGAATGCAAGCATCAAATCAACAAACGATGCCATAAGCGCTCACTATTTTCGACACATCGCTGCAACTGCTTTTTTTGTCGTGCAATGCATAGCGTACATGACATGTCCAATAGAGAGAGAAAAAAATGACTAATTTGCGCTCTAAATCACTCACAAGTAACCCAAACGACACACTCAATTATATTCAATAAAGCAAAAGGCGAAAAAGGCACAAAACACAAATCTCTGACGGAAATTCCTTTTGATTAGAAATTAGAATATCTGCGCATAATTCATTTGCGCACGAAAATACGTCCAAATCTTATGATCTCGGTGATTCAAGAGTCTTTCTCTGTTTCTGTCAAAATTATATTCAAATAACATCTTAATCTCAACAATTATAATCCTTTCAGTGTTTTTTTTTGTTTGTATTGCATAAAAATAGTAAAATGCATTTCCGGTGCGTGTTTTTTCTTTGTTCTGTGTGTATTTCAGGCATCAATGGATCTACCGCCGGATAAAGCGAAACTGCTGAAAAACTACGACAATGAAAAGAAATGGGACATCATATGTGATCAAGTAAGAGTTCATAAAACTGCTTTTGAGATTTGCATAAATCAACAAACTTTTTATTTCATTTCTAACGAACTTATTTCATTCATTCAATTGCGCACTAGGAAATGGTACAAGCAAAAGATCCACCATCGCACTATTTAACGAAACTACGCACATATCTTGATCCGACCGCCTCAAAGAGCCACCGGGTAAGTAAGAAGAAAAAACGATGAGAAAAAAAAAACAATCACATGCTGCAATATTGTGAAATAGTATGTATAAATACACAGCGCACAATAGTGGCAACAGGAAGAGTAGCAAATAGCAGCAGAAGCGCAAAAAAAATCGTTAATTAAATACACGCTTGACGTACGACACGAGTGGCGTTTGTCATTATGACTTAATCGATTTAGATACGAATGCAAGATACAACTGAATGTCATGCTCTTTTGCACTCAGAATATTCACTACTTGCAGATTTTATGTTTACACGCGCTCTCGCGTACGATCATCACATTGTTCGCATGTTATTTCGCCTCTTTTTTTTGTGTCATTTTACACAATTCAAGACTTTCATTAATAAATAATTACGTTTTTGATGAATGTCATTGTAGATGATCATATGATCTATACGAGAAGTTATTATAGCAGTTGACAATCTTCGTTATTCATGCCATGCCATGCTATTATTCTTATTCTAATTCCGATTTGTTTTTTTTTCTGATTTCAATGTTTTTTTTTGTTTGTTTCAGAAACGGAAAATAGTCGGTGAATCAACGTCAACGCAAGTACTTCGTGACCTCGAAATTTCGTTGCGAACCAATCACATTGAATGGGTTAAAGAGTTTTTGGACGAAGAGAATCAGGGTCTAGATTCGCTGGTCGATTACCTAAGTTTTCGCTTGATAATGATGCGCTATGAACAACGAATTGAAGACACACAAAATGGTTCGGATGAACAATTAAACAGCCGAAATGCAACAAATACAACAACGACAACAACTACATCGACTGCAAGCGGCGATGCAAAACCATCAAATGGTTTTCTTCGGCCAAGCCTAGAGGAATTGGTTGATAGTCCAAATTTAAGACGTCGATCGCGACACATAGCCAAATTGAATATGGGCGCATCAACCGATGACATTCATGTGTGTATCATGTGCTTGCGCGCAATTATGAATAATAAATATGGTTTTAACATGGTGATTCAGCATCGCGAAGCGATCAATTGCATTGCAATTAGTCTCATTCATAAATCGTTACGGACCAAAGCATTGGTCTTGGAATTATTGGCGGCCATATGTTTGGTTAAGGGTGGCCATGAAATCATTCTATCGGCATTTGATAATTTTAAAAGTGTATGCCATGAAGGGAAACGCTTTCAAACGCTCATGGAATATTTCATAAATTATGAAATGTTTAACATTGATTTTATGGTGGCTTGTATGCAATTCATTAATATTGTTGTTCATTCGGTTGAAGATATGAACTATCGCGTTCATTTACAATACGAATTTACGTCGCTCGGCTTAGATGAATATTTGGAAAAATTACGTTTAACCGAATCGGAAGAGTTGCACGTTCAAATTTCCGCATATTTGGACAATGTATTCAATGTGGCCGCATTGATGGAAGACAGTGAAACAAAAACAGCGGCACTTGAACGTGTACAAGAATTAGAAGAGGATTTAAGCCGTGCACTGGATCGTATCAACGAAAATGAACGACATTTTATGTATAAATTGGCCGAATTAAATTCGGATTTACAACAAGTGCGCAGCGAACGCGACGAACTAAGTCAAATAAAACAAAAAACCGATGAAGAAGTATCCACATTACGACGAGTATTGAAACAAAATGAAATGGAATTGAAAAATCGCCAAAATATGCTAGAAACTAAAAATTTGGAATTACAAACGCTTACACAGTCGCTGCCAAAAGGCACATCGATCAACGAGAAACTTTCCGATTTGGCGAAAAATTCAAACGATTCAGGTGAGCAACCTTCTCAAATCAATGATTTATCAAATATGTTGTTTATTTCATACGATGAAAAAAATCCAAGAAATATGTTGAAAATTATAAATGTTGCATAAAAAAGATTCCAAAAAATGATTTATTTAAAATGAATGCGTCATATCAATGCATGAAATTTAAAATTGAAGTCAAATTGAAAATTGTCGTTAAATGATCAAAATCGAAATGATGTTTTCTAATTGCAGTTCATCAAGTAATTGCGGAAGTAAAACCACCGGAACCTCCAAAGCCACCGCCATGTCCACCACCACCTCCAATGAATATTCCAGCACCTCCGCCCATGAATAAACACCTACCCACACCGCCGGCACCTCCAATTCCCGGTTTTATGCCAGCACCCGATGGAGCAATGACGATTAAACGAAAACACGTCACAAAATATAAGCTGCCAACACTTAACTGGGTGCCATTGAAACCAAATCAAGTACGATTCATTCAATTTGCATGATATGGTATTTATTTTAAATTTTTAAATTAATCGCATTGATTTCAGGTTCGTGGAACAATTTTCAATGAATTGGACGATGAAAAACTTCACAAGGAAATCGATTTTGTTGATTTTGAAGAACGTTTTAAAATTGGTATGGGCGGCATTATGGCGAACGGACAATCGGAGGTTGATGGTTTATTAGCGTTTCCAAGTAAACGTTTTAAGAAACCAGAAAATGTATCTGTGTTAGAACACACGAGATTGAGAAATATTGGTGAGTGATCGAAATTCGAGAATAGTATTAAAAATCAGTCCCAAGTATGATTATGCTGGATAAATATTCGCTGCTGGAAATATCCGAATAGCTATATCAGATCAGAAGATGTGTTGTATGCGTAGATACAGCAACAGTTTAGCACACAACACAAGATTTGGTGATTCGTTTACACCTCTATGTGCGACAATGTCTTAGAGATACAATTTTGATGGACAGCATAATCACATGTCTGCCCAAATGACCATTTCAAAAATCATTTAATTCAAACTGTCCTTTTTTTGTATTTCTTCAGCAATCTCTCGACGAAAACTCGATATGCCGATTGATAAGATTATTCAGGCCATTAATAATTTGGATTTGAAACAAATCTCATTGGAAAATGTGGAAATTCTGCAAAAAGTGACACCAACTGAACAAGAAGTTAAAGCATACAAAGAGTATATTGCCGATCGAAAGGATCCAAACCTTTTAACCGACGAAGATAAATTCATGATGCAATTGGCACGAGTTGAACGTATCTCGTCAAAATTGGCGATCATGAATTATATGGGCAATTTCTTTGATAGTTTACATCTTATTAATCCGGTAAGAATCGAATTTTTCGACAATTTTTTTTTTCTTCTCTTCTCAACTAAAATTGGAATGTTTATATCATTCGAAATGTTATCTATTTTATTTTTCAGCAAGTTGCGGCCATACTCAATGCATCGAACGCAGTTAAATCATCGAAAAAATTCAAAGCAGTATTAGAAGTTGTATTGGCATTTGGTAATTATTTGAATAGCAATAAACGCGGGCCTGCGTACGGTTTTAAATTACAAAGTTTGGACACATTGTTGGATACTAAATCGACTGATAAACGCATGTGCCTTTTGCATTACATTGTCATGACCATACGTCAAAAGTTTCCCGAATTACTTGATTTCGATACGGAATTGATTTATATTGAAAAAGCCGCACAAGTATCATTAGAAAATCTAATGACCGATGTACAAGAATTGGAAAAAGGAATGGATATTGTGCGCAAAGAGGCCGATGTACGAAATAAAGGGCCGCAAAATTTGGTGTTAAAAGATTTTCTCACAAATTCCGAAGAGAAATTGCGAAAAATGCGACAAGAAGCGAAAAATGCACAAGATGCATTCACAAAATGTGTTGAGTATTTCGGTGAATCATCGCGAAATACCGATGCAAATGCATTCTTCTCACTTTTGGTGCGTTTCAAACGTGGAGTTAAGGTGAGTTTTTGTTAATAGACATTTTTTTAGTTAAAATCACAAAGAACACGTGTTAATTTACTTTATCCTCTTTACACCTTTAATTTAATTTACTTTTACATTATAATTAGGAGAAAAATTAATTTAAAATTATGAAAATATTTTTTTTCTCATTTTTTTTAGACTGCCGATCAAGAAAATGAACAAAGAAGGCGATTGGATCAGGCGACCGCATTAGCAGCCAGTAAAAAGCAAAACGATGAAGTTGTACTACGTAATAATAAAATAAATCAAAAGAAACAGCAGGTACATTTCATTCAAAATCGAATCAAAGTTTGTAATTGATAGCTAATGAAAATGTATGTGTTTTATCAAAAATTTGCAGGAAGCAGTGATCAACGAATTAAAGAGTAAAACGAATGCAGTGCGTGAGAAGAAGTTACTTCAGCAGGATGAAGTGTATAACGGTGCTTTAGAGGATATATTATTAGGTTTAAAAAATGAGCCGTATCGACGAGCCGATGCAGTTCGTCGAAGTCAAAGAAGGCGCATCGATAGTAATCGTTTATCGAGAACCATCGAAGAATTAGATGTATAATTTTACAAATTTTGTTTTCTTTTGAATGGGTCGTACTGTGAATAATATTATAGTTTCTTTTGTGCAAAAAAAAAAACAATTTAGCATCAAACAAATGGCCTTATATTAAAAGTATTCAGAAATCAAATGATAAATTTCGAAATGGAGGAAGAAAAGATAAAACAAAAAACAAAAAATCTTTTATCGAGTGCTGTTTTTAATTGAAATCACATTTAATCGTAGTTCGATGAAACTACTCGATAGAATGCTTCATTTTTAAATTATTTAATCAATGTATTGATTTTTTTTATCTCGACCCCTGTTTTTAATGATATTATTTCAATTGTCTGCCAGTGACAGACATTCATTTTGTATAAAATTTAATATTTTCATCTCTTTATTTAGTTCTTTGTTAATTCAATTGTTGTAGGTATGAATGATACAAATAATACAAAAATGTTGATAGTAATTGTCCTTGCTTAATGTAAAATGTGTCGTCAGTTTTATTATCTTTTTTTTGTGGAGTTTTCATTTAAAATCAAAAATGGGATCAAACAAAACATTCGACATTCCAAATTTCAATAGACTGCCGCAGAAATCGGCATACGGAATGATGTTACAATTATGTTCCATTTTTTAAAATTATACATTCCAGTCTGCACAAAACACCAGTTTCTCGTCATTTCACAACAATTTAAAATGTAAGACACAAGTTCATTTTGTGCTGGAATTATATTTTATCGAGTTTAAATTGATGGAAAGATGTGCGCGTTATATCGAAGCAATTTAAATTTATTTTTCAACACACAGTGTGATTCAATTTTATTCTTCATTAATTTCTTATTTAGTATTTTTAAATCGATTTTTCTCCGAATTTTTGTTGACCCTTTTTTCTACTTTTCTTTAAATGTATTACAGTTTAATTTTTCGATATTTAAATATTCAGTGAAATTTGAATGGCATTGTAAACCAGAAATAAGTGACCGAGGTTAAAAATCATGTTTGAGTGTAATTTCATTCGTTTTTTTTGTCTTTTAATATGCCTCTTGATATTTAGTGAAAATGACATGATTTTATGAAAAGCTATATAAAAACACAATTTCAGACGTTTATGCAGATAAAATAGAACATATATAAATATATATATTTTTGACTCCGCAATTCAAAGCTTTTTATGAAACATAATGCTTTTGGTACAAACACGTGAATGATACAAACACGAATTGTCAAATGCAAGCAAATACAAAACAAAAACCGAAATCCTTATAGGTACAATCTGACACATGACAAACAACAACAACAACAAGATGACATTTTATTTTTTATGCATATATTATTGTAATATTCTTTTGCAAAGCATTTAATTTAAATAAAATAAAAACAAAAACCACTTCTACCGACTCTTTTTGTTTTGAATTTTCCAAATGGTTTTGCTGGCGAAAAGTTTCCACCGAACTTTTCGTTGTGTTTTAGTTTTGGCAAAGTTTTTGGTACTGTTGTAACAACAATTGTAACTGGATATCTCATTGAATATGTTAAAAGTCCATGTAAATATGTCAATTCAAGTTTTAGTGCAGTATTTTCCGAAGAATGCACACATGCATATCGTTAACTTCGTAAACTATTTAGAATTAAAGAATTTACATAATCATCACAATGGAACATTTTTAAAAATTGTATACAAGATTCTATACAAGATTGTTATTTGACTTGTGCATCCATGTGACTTCTTAACCTCACTAACAAAGTACATTGTTACATAAGAACTGCATTTCGATAAATGACGTTCGTATGAAGATCAAATGAATTTCGATTTCGGAAGGTTTAGAACAAAAAGTATCCAAATATGTAAATGAAAATACCCTGATGGTCTTCAATGCCATTTAGAGTGTTAAAAAATATTGAAAATTGTAGATTTTCGAGGCTGACAAGTGAGCTGAAATGGCAATTTTGACGGTAAGCAATTTTTTATTGTACTAGCATTCACTGAACTTGGAGTAACTTCAAACAAACTACATGCTTCTTAATATGATCCAATTCGCTGAGGCTTGGAAGGTGGGAACAACAAAATATATGGAAGTGGATTCTCATTGTGGAATAAGTCAATTAATACTAAATGGCAGACATTATGTATAGTTTTTCTCAGCTAGCTGAATCAGATCAGGCAGCTAACGTCACCCAAGTAACCAAATGCGTGTGTATAAGACAATGTGCACAATTTGTGCCCGTATAGAATAATATTCGCTAAAGATCGAATAAGAACGTGCGAAATCTATGCAAAATACATGTTTGTGCATAGATTGTGCATATTACGCGTTACATGTTACTAGGCCTGCTGCAGGCATTGAAATTGGACGTCAACAAAAAAGTGTTTTTTAAAGTTATGAAAATTTGTATGTTTTGTATGTATCAAATTGTGATAACTTTTTGCGAATTGCTTGAGTTATTTTATTAAAATGACGACTAGATCGTTTCTATTATTTTTACTGGATTTTAGCGCTGAGCTTAAGATTAGCTGGATGAAAATATCTAAATATAATGTCTGTTAAATGAAAACAAAAGTTATTACGATAAAAATAAAAAACCAAACAACTTGAACAAAACAAATCGAAGACAAGCACATATCCACTTTTTCGCATTTATTTTCGATAGAATTGGACTGATATTTTGTATTATTGTCAAACTGACGGCCAGGCGCTGAAATGGAGCAAAAACAATAGAAGTGATTGTTATAGTGATGACAGTGTTTTTATACTTATAACAATCACTTTTATTGTTGTCGCGCCATTTCAGCGCCTGGCGTCAGCTAGATGAGCTGGAATATCTGGATGACAATATTCAAATATATTGTCTGCATAAAAGACGCAAAGTATTGCATAATACACGACATTTTGATCGAGGTCCGTTCCACTAGGATGTTTCTATTCTTCATACCTCTTTGCATCGGTCAACGACTATGTGTTGAGATTCATGCATTTAGAATTTTAAAAATCGAATGGATGCCTTATGTTTCTCCCTTTTTCAATGCTGCCATTTCGTTCATAAAAAAAAACTTTAGAATTCTGAAAGCATCTCTTTTCGCAATTCTGAAAAGTTTTCTTGATGAATTCATAGCGGTTACAGTACGTTTTTTTTATATAGAGTCATCGATTTTTTAAACAAAAACACACTAGTTTTGCAAAATTATTTTATATATATTTTATTTAGTATCTAACCTACGGCGCAATCAATCAATATTCAATCCATTCCTGTCTTCTCGATCACATGGGCACATCTATTTGGCATACTTTTGCTCAAATTTTCAGCATATTCGAGTTGAAAACTTTTCCACTGGCGTTGAATGAATGAGCTGCTTCAAATTGCGGTGTGTTTTACCACGAAGCCTTGCCTTAATAATAGCCCAAACATTTTCGATCGAATTGCAATCGGTTGACTGTGGCGGTCAGTCCATTTGTTTAATGTCCTTTTCCTCCTTACAAGCGGTGCAAAGATGACTTTTGTGTTTTGGCTCGTTGTCTTCTAATAGAAGCCAATTCGAATTGTCGTTGCCATAGAACTTCTTAGAATAAAGTTGGTTCATCCTCACGGCGTTTGGAATGCCCGTGAATACGGTCAACTTTCCAAAACCAGCTTCACAGAAGCAACCATAAACAAGCACCTTTTTCGGATGCTTTACCGTGCGAACGACCACTATCTTTTCGACTCTAGACTAGGCATGGGTAGTGCTATTCACCAGCTAAAAGAATGACTCGTCAGTGTATATAACTTCGCTCCAATCTCTTGTTGAATTTTGGTTTGCCCAAAAATATTTTATATAGATATTTGAAATTTTCATCTAAAAAATCGATGACTCTATATAAAAAAACGTACTGTACATTGTTGTCTTTGCTTTAAGGTTTTTTGTAACTTGCGCTTCGTAAGCGTCAATTTCATTCAAATGTTTGTTCCGTTTCGGTTAAATCAATGGGTCATTGTGATCGAAAGAAAATATCTCTTTTGGTTGTAACTTTCGAAAAGAGATGAAGAAAAATCGAGAATGCGGAATTTTCGTTTCGAAATCCATATTTATTCGAGACGAAAAACTGGTTTTTGATTTCATAAATTTATTAAATTCAATAGCTTTTAATAGACTTATTTCACTATCGATGAGAGTTACCAAATCTTTAAAATAAATATGCGTATTGATGTTCATAATAGTATGTGATAATTTTCCAAAGAGATAAAAGCTTGATATTTTCTTTCACATCAATTTAGTTGTCTGAAATACATGTAACACAACAGTTGACTTTTTGTTGTTGAAATAACCATGCAAGAAATTGTAGTAGTTTTGTTATTGTTTTTAACTGTTCAATTTGCAGTTTCATTTAATCCAGCATTAAGTGATATTTATAGGAATCCACCAACTCCGACATCAAAAATCAATAAAGAATTCAATGGTAAGCATTTCAGCGCCGCAATCCCTAATGGTCATATTCGTATTTGAATTTATCTACATTATAATAACAACATTTCAGATGTGATATTTTGTCCATCAATTCCGGGGCCAACATCAGAGATATTGCAGACATTTTTGGCGTCGTTGAAGAATAGTACGAAAAAAGAAGTGAATTCAACGAACGTGGAAAGTTTTGGATCATGTTGTCGCTCTCATTTTGAATGTAATGCACGGAAAAATTTTGATCGGCCAAACGAATCGAATACACCATACTGTCAGTGTGAAAAAAGTTTTAGTGAATGTTTGGATCAATCAAAGAATATATTATCGAGTGTATTTGAATATGCCTACATATTGGGCACAACAAAATGCATCGCTGAAGATTATCCAATTGTTGATTGTGCGAAATTTCAATACTTTTTTGAACCGTACGCACAGTTTAGTCGACCACCGAATGAAAATGAACGCAAAAGAGAACACATTCGATGTCTGGAATATAATGTCGATAAAACCAAACCGAAGGAGTTTCAGTCATTTGACTTGCCATTTATTCATCGATCAGGGCAATATGATGTCGTAAAATATTTGGAAAATGTAGCCACCAACTCTTCTGCAGACACCACGACTTATACAAAATTCTCAGCTGCTGTCCAGAAATATCTCGGTCAAACGAATTACAAATTGTAAACTCAAATAAGTTTTGTTAATAAAAAGATAATTTTTACAAAAAAAAAAACATTTTTTCAAATTACCATCCACATATGCGTATGTTCATTCGCGTTTCCTCTTTATCCAAAACCTAAGCCCAACTTACGCAATTTTCCCACATGTTGCCTTTTCATCACTTTTCTAAAGCGGTATTAGCTACTTGCGTAACTACGAAGAAATTTCAAAATGCTTACTTTTTGAGTTCGTTTGAAATTGAAACTGAAAAGAAAACTGGTTGTGACATTTGTAAGATCAATGATTCTCTTTTAAGATGAATATAACATTATATCATGGATGGAAGTTTTGTGATGCAATATAACAAATCACAATAAAATTACGTATTATTTTTTATCATAAATAGATTAATAAGTTTAATTTGCACAATTTTCATGAGACATTTTTACCTGCAATACATGCTGAGTTAAATCCAGCAATTTGGATTCAGAAAATGACGTCAAAATCGACATTTTTACGAGGATGGCCAAATTTACCCCTGAAGTTTCCAACGACATAAGCTTTATTAGTTTTTGGTTGTATGTCCTTTTAGAGTTTCCATTTGTACAATCCGTACCCCACTATGCCGGGTGTTTTATGTAAATGGCCCACTACTGGGGAGTGTGTATTTTAATTTTCAAAAATCTGAATTAATAGACATTTTTAATTTGGAGTTTTAGAAAGTAATACTCACACTAGTGAGCCATTTATAAGTATATGTCGAAAGCCGTTTCATAATCGTACAATAAAATACATCCGAATTAAACATTAAAGAGTCTAAATGATGTCGAAATCGTATATCACAGTTCATGTCTTCTACTCAGTCATCATATTAAGATATTTTGAGGAAACTGATTTGCCTCAGAAAGCAAACGTCAGACGCTGAAACGGAGTGAAAACAATAGAAGTGATTATTATAGCGATTTTAGCAATATAAGTGTTTTTATAACCATAACAATCACTTCTACTGTTTTCACTACGTTTCAGCGCCTGATGTTAGCTTCCTGAGCTGAATCAGTTGCCTGAAAATATCTCAATATCTGTTTCTACTGTGGCAAATAATAGTTCCGTAGCTTAAGAAACATTACAAAATTTCTGATCTTCGAACACTGCACCAAATATTTTTCGTTACATTTTTATTTTTAATTCGAAATCATTATGATTTCGTTTTCAAAAAAGAATTTGAACCAATTGAAAATGTGAATGGTAGCAACTGTAATGGCATTACTAAAACAGAAGTTTTGGTGTGATTTATTTACTCAATTTTAGATATGGAATGTTGTCCATCAATTCTGAAACTTACGCCAGACACAACGTCAAAATCTTTAGAAGTATTATTTAGAAATTCAGAGCAAAATGCCAATTCAACTTAAAATGGGAATTTAGATTCATGATGTCGAGCTCTTTATATGTGTGGTTCACGAAAAAAAATTAGTTTAAATGACACCAAAAAATCAAATACACGCGACTATGAAAATGGCTTTCGTGGATGTTTAAAAAAATAAATGGTAGAACGTCAAGTTAATTTGCATTCGCTTCTTCAATAGCGAAATCAGCATGTCTTGCGGAGAACCATCCAATTGTAAAATGTGTAAAGCTTCCGAATTTTTTTGAATCGAGAGCAATGTATTGAATATATTCACTCGACTCGAACACGAAAACCATTACATTCGATGTTTGGAATACGAATTTAATAAAAGCAAACCAAAATGTATCAAACATTTGATTTACCGTTCATTTATAAAATCGGCGAATACATGGGCGAATACGAATTTATCAAAGAAGTCGAAGAAGCAGCAACAAAGTATTTTACTTGTTTTTTTGACAAAATGTTAAGTATTATACTGATAAGTGGTGATCACACGTTCATGGTTGCAGTATTTTTATTGTTTATAAGCTTTCATGAGAGTTATCAGTGTTCAAATCTTTAGATTGGTGATAAAAGTAACACATTTTTTTTCTTTCATGCTTATTGTTTGTAATACTCGTTTGTCTTTCTTGAAAAAAAAAAGCATTAAGATAAATAAAAAAGGGGTTCCAACTTCCAACGTTCGTAACGGAAAATGTGTGTTTGAATTGTCTTAATGGTTTTAGTGAAAACTTGTGTTAAACTTTTAGTTGTATTTTACTTGGGGCAAAGTTGTTGATGCTGTTGTAAGTAGAACTAAGAATGTAACTTGCTGCCAACATCACAAAAAATAATGCAAAACTAACGCAAAGCGCATCCGTGTAAATGTATCAATTTCAGTTTGTCAAGTTTTACTGCAGTGTTCCGTTTTCCATCACATAACATGAATGCACACTTGCACATCGTAGATTTTGGAAACCGTTTCACTCAATCATCCCAATAAAATGTGTCTGGATTAAAAGTTGGAGAGTCTGTTCCAATGTAAAATCAAAACTACTGCATGAAAATGGTTCAACATAAACTAAAGTTTTCGGTAATCGAAACCATTAAATTTCGTTAAACCACCCAGAAAAAGGCGACATAATACGTTTAATTTTGTTGTATGGTTATTTGGTTTTTTTGTTCTTCTTGTTTATTTTATCGTTGCAGGCTAGAAATGTGCGTTATCAAGCTACGCATTGACGCAGACCATGACCCACTTTCATCTAACGAATTTATTCACTTAGCATAACGTTTTCAAGGCCGATCATTGACCCTTTGTTCGTTCGTTCGTACAGCTTTTTGGTGCATCGGCAGCATTGTGATGCGCATGTTTTACCGGTATTTAAGTCATGTATCTATCGACTGTGTGTATCGCATTGTACATATATTACAATGAAAATCTATACACACACGCATTGTGCTGACCATTGCAGTTCATTTCATTCGATGTTGTTGTCGTTGCGGCTTCTGCTGCTGCTATTGCTGCTAATCAAATAAAAAAATCGGGTTGTTGCAATACATATCGCATATAACAAATTTTATAAACAAATTGCTGTTGTGATTTTTCATAGCGGTAGAATTTTAACCGCAAGATCTATTTTATATCCAAATAGAAGAATGCATACGCCGATTTTGCAAAAGACCTATAATAACCATTCATCATTTTACAAGAAAACAATTGCAATAAATTGAAAATGTCCAAAAAGCCAAAAACAACTAAACAAACAATAGACAACGAAAACGGAGAAATGGCAAAATTCAAGCCAAAATATATATATATACGTGCAAAAGCTTTGAACATTTTGAAGGCACACGTACATAAACAGCACATTCCTTTGGTTCGAAGAAGAATGGGAGAAATGTGCCATGTGGGAATCATTGAAACGCATTTAAACACGTACACACGCCATTAAAACACACATATTTGACTTAAGAGATTGCAGTGTTTCCTACATAATAATGATTTTACATTCGGGTTTGTGCACACACACCCATAGCCACTCGCCAAAAAAAAATTAATTACGTAGACGTTATATGTGTGCAAAATGCGACACACAGACTGAAAACATACATAATGTACTCAATAAGGAATAAAAAGAAGAAGTTGGCATAAAATAAAGGAGGCACGAAACAAATGAATGGCAAACATTGAGAATGAATGTGCTTTACGTTTATGCAAACTAACCAGCGACATTTTATTATATAGATTTTTTGTTCGTCTTCATTTTCTTTTGTATTTCGTCCCTGTACGTTGTACTATTCATGTACATGTGCATGTCTCAGTTCATTTTTGTTCGTTTTTCTCGGGTGTTTTTATTTCCTGCAACAAATGCGCAAACGTTTCAGAATTGAAAATAGCACATATTTTCATAAAATATCTCACCAAAAATAGCTCGATTCCTTGATCGGCCCGCGTTTACAACGAAACACAAAGAAAAAATTGGAGAAGAATGAAAAACGCAAACACAACTAGATGATAATTGCGTACTTTTGATCATTGTTGAATGTCAGCTCTTTTATTCGTTCATTTGCATAACAAATGTATGTCATATGTGCGCGCCTTTTCTTCTCACCGAAAAAAAAACTATCCCAAAAAGATACAATTTTCGCCAGTTCATTTTTAATTTTTTGTTAACTTCATCTTCTTTCAGTCGCTTTGCCATTCGTCAGACAATTTGCCAAAAGGCAAAAATATTACATTTTTACAGAATGGATATTAGTCGATTTAACTATTTTTCGTCGCTACACATGAGAAAGTATATAAATACGTATACAAATGCCATTTCGACTAGTTCGAGAACCATTTTTTTTTGCCGTTGATAATTTGAATGCCGGCCAACCGTGGTCTCTCTCTTAAATATTCCATATTTAAGTGAATTATTGAGATTACCATATATTTTTCGAGTTTTTTTCACTCTTTTATTTGTGCAAAACTTTATTTATTTTCTACAAACTATACTTCATTATTGATGCACAGCATTGGCCATATTTTAGAGATGAAAAAAAAAACTTATCGACTTTAGTCAAAAGTCTATTAAAAACAGTAGCTTAATGAATTCCATTTTTGGTATGATGTCTGACCCACAAAATGCGGCTTAAATCAATTAGTCTTTTATGCACATGCAGTCACTCTCTGTTTTCATTCAGATTGATTCCCATTCTACTGTTTCCAACTACTGCCACAACAGCTATGATTTTAACGAACGCTGTATAAACATATGAATCGAAACAAAAGCTTCACAGTCACGTCAAGTGCATTATCGCATTAGACGAGCAGATAACATGCGAGAAATGATGGAAAAATTGCATTCGATCATGCATTAAAAGTGCAAAAAAGAGGAAAACGATGCGGAAAAAATGAATTAACCAAAATAAACGAAATAATCGAAACAATTTCATATATCAAAGTGAATTTTTCAAAAGAAAAATAATGAATTGAGAGGGAGAGAGGAAAAAAAAAATGGTAAAATGTTATGGTCGAATAAACGATGAATTATAATGCGACAGGGAAAAAAGAGCATTGAATGCGCACCAACCTGCAATATTGTCTTTATGCTGGAAATCGCCCTAAAAACCAAGAAAATAAAATCAAATGCAAAAATGTCGAACC